GAAATAGTATTAAAGCTGCAACACTAGTTATCCTCAAAATCAACCACACAACCAGGATAAATGACTAAATATGAATTATGGGGTTTGAAAACAAAATTACTGGGAATGGTAGCTATGATTTGTGAATTAGATGGATTTGACACCATCCTAGCACTGCGAGAAATGTGGGCGGTGAAGTAAAAAATACTACTTCACAACCGAATATTGTACCAAACTATTTTGAAATGCTATATTCAACATCATATCTTTTTACCCCACTCTACATATTTCAACTAAGTTAATTAGAAATACTGACCTTTCCAAACAAACTGTCAGTCATTTGTGGATGGAATGATCTCAAGCGCTTAAAACTGAGTACACGAACATACTATTCTACTTAAATAGACTTAAAAAAACAAGTTGTTTAAGAGATATTTGCTTACTAACTATTAAGCGTGTCATCATTACTCATTAGTTTTTCCAATATGCATTAAATGAAAGAATTTCGAAAACTTCATTTAAATTCATGGAAGGGATGAAGTGCATGAACTCAGTCATCAACAATGTAGGGCTTCACATGGATGCGCATTGGCCCAAGTTGCTAAACCTCATAGGCAAGAGGTGAAAACAACAAGATGAATGGGAAGAGACAGAAATAAAGTAGCGGTCTATATAATTTAATATTACCATAACACCTAATTCTTTGGAATTTAGGTAAGAAAATATTTAGGCTGTCTTGAACCATATGTATAAACAATATGAAGTCAAGAAATATAGTCATCCTTTATTTCAGCAACTCGTTTATGTGCTAAGTATAAAAACGCAATACTACACATAGCACTGATAAGAAAGATTACGTCAAACCAACGATGATAGAAATGAAATTGTAAGTCACCAAGTACTTGGTTTAACATATTCCTATACTCTGCAGTCATATTCATACGTAAAAGCAATACAGAAGAAACAAAATAAGTACCCATTATTTGTGCTATGATTAAAACAATTATATTCGATGATTTTGTGCTGGCAATAGCGTGAAAGAACTTTGTTAAAGTTATTAAAAGTCCACGAATTGACGTTACAACAATTATACCGACGAGCCAAAATGATATTTGTTGTGACCAAAATTTTACATCAATCTGAAAGCCTAGATAATGTATAGTTATACCCATAAAGCGTGTTATAGGATCTTGTCCACCGAATCGATTCAATAAAATATTTACAATGGATATAAATATCTTCCAACAGCAATAGCCACAGAAAAAGTAGCCAAGACAATTGAAATATTTTCCTTTCCATGTTTTTGAAAATTCGATACGTTCTTGGGCAGTTCGGAGGTAGTGTAATTCCAGAAATAATTGACGACTCAAGTCTTCAAGAACAGATATCTACATATTTTGAAAGAAAACAAGAGAAATTGGTAATGAATACAAAAAATAGCCATCGTGTTAGATTCTCCTATTGAACGTAAGGAATAGTGAAGACTTTCAGGGTCACTTAAAAGTTCTGAATAAAAGGGAAAATAATTCTGTGTACCACCACAACGCAAGAGTTTGGAACAAGTATTTAGTTGAATTTTAATAAAAGACTAAAATGCTTTGCCACATAACTGCTGTCAGAAATAACTATGATTTTTTGATCATACTTCGACCATTGTCATAATATCGAATAACAGGAATTTGTACTGGATCAACATGACTGAATAATAACATGAAATTAATAACTATAATCTAAAACCCTTGGAAGAATTACACACGTAAGTGCAGACAGTTTTTTCGAGATTTTGTAATTATTAGGGGCTTTCTGAATATATTAGTAAGTCTGACGTCACAACTTATAGACATAAAGCCTTTGCATGAAGAAAAAGTTCACGAAACTATGCTTACTAATAGTCTAAGTGAAAGCTTTTAATTGCACAAATTCCTACATTTTTAGTAGTTCTTTTCCGTTAATAATATAAAATAAAGATGGGGTTACGGTAGTTGAATTTTGATTATTAGGTCATATATTCGAATCGCAAAAAAGGGCTAGAATACGAACTTTTACGTGACTAGTGAGCTTAACTCGATCCAAATCGATGATCTGGAAACCATAAAAAACAGATGCTTAAAGGCTACACTATTTTAAACTTGAGAGTGCCTATCAAGATATAAGATATTAAGACAAGAACCTTTATTATCAGTCTGAATACACGTTAGAAAAGGAACTGAAAATTAATTTCTTAAAACAATAGTTAAATAAATGACTCAAGTATGGTAACAACGCAGAAAATAAAACACCAACCTCATGTTTCAACAATTTTTCGTCAATACGAGGTGATGAAATAGACATTCCAACTGTCCGTAACATGTTCCAAAAGGTGTTAGATTTTTCGTTGGTAGTACGCTGAAATTCACATGAAAACATTTTACGGTAAAATCTGGACTACGTTCTGCAAAGAAAACAACACTCAATGATATAAAGACTGTGAGGGCTACAGTAATAAGTTGGGTAGAAAGATACAGGTACGGTACTACTAAGTAAACATGGTACGAAATAACTTACACACTAGCAATATTATAGATATTCCAACCCTTTGCTAGAAAATAATGTTGACAACATGGATATTCCTTGAATCATATGCCTACACGCTAGACGTAAGAGGTATTTTGTCTAACCAATCATTTCAGAATAGCTCCTTATTACAGAGCGAAAATCCTGCATTTGAGAAGTACGAAAGCTACGCAACCTTTTTCAGACTTTTAATCAAGATTTGAAAAGTAGGTCCTGTTGGCATATACAATTTGTGAAATTGGGTAATTTGCTTACTACGCGTAAGAAAAGAATCCCAGAGAAAAATTTATGGTTACAACATAAGCGAAAAAACTGCGAATAGAAATTACTGTAACCAGTGCCAAGTAATTAATGGTTGTGATCGATGAAATACTTCTCAGTCCTGATTCATATTTTAGTGACTGCCATAAAACAAATTATCCAACAAGATACTTGGTCTTTCAGTGGATTAAGACTGATTTGACCTTAAACACTAACAAGTAGCTCAGAAATACGGATCACTAGGACTTGGGCTATTAGTTTTAGAAATGTCACGATACTATCTAACTTTGTACTGAAGGAAATATAAGAATCGAGTCTAGACAATAATTTGTAAAAGAACGAAATATACAGCATTATGAATAGAGGAAAGTCTATATTAACTAGTGCTTCTAAATGTCCTGATACCGTTGGAAAAAGTCAGCTTTCCATCCCGAAGTGTCGTAATATAAACACGCATTTAAAGCCTTTCCCATGAAAATGCTGGCAAATGAAATCGAGTGACGGGAAATCTGTTTACGAAACTGAAGGAAAAAGTGAGCTTTTGCGACTTTAACCCGACTAGTGAATACGTAGGATTCATTACTGGTGTTAACCAATCCCAGAATCAAAATACGGGTGCCATGTAAACTTGTCTCACTGACCAGGTATCATGAGGCTGCATTCGACGTTAGTTTACTGCCTTCTGGGTTAGATCACTAGGTCTAATGATTAAGAAATGGCTTCTAGAAGAGACCAGCTGTTTTTGTTTAAGCGAACAAGCAGTATCTCAGCTCTTCTACAAATATGATAACTGACAATTATAAAAAAAGCATTATGCATGCTTTGTTGCGGACTAACAAAACGTAGCTAACAGCAGCAGTCTGAAATGAGGTGTTTTATTTATTTATTTAAACATATATATTGGTACAAGGAAGCACCAGATACATATGCGCCATACAAATCTCATTCGATTTGCTTGAGGGCTGTGATACTGCCAAGGTGCCCAAACTGAAGCAGGTGGTTTTCTTAGGGGCCCACACCCGGAGCCTTTGACCGAAAGATCTGATCCACAAGGCAGTGGAACATCGTGAGGAGATGCAGTCCCATGGTAGCCGGTGATCAACGATTGATTCGTACGCCATTTGTTCCCTCAGGATACTGGAGTCCATGCGCACCATTGGTTTGGAATTAGGGTTTTCCAACTCCCCTAGGTGGACTCGCCTTGTCCACCAACCCGGTTAAAGCGCCGAACATTCGCTTTTCGTCCTCTCAATTCCGTAAACAACACCCTCGCCACGAGAAGGCAGTGAGTAGGACTTCCCTGACAGAGGCTATATATTTGCTGGCAATGTGAGAGCATTTCGAGAGGGAGGGCGGACTCTCCCCACTCTCGGCCGTACCAAGGCATTTGGGGGGGGGGAGCTAACAGCAGCAGTTTGAAATGAGGTGTTGCTGTGAAGTTAATTTGATAAAACGGCACCTTGAGTTAACAAAAATATATCTACGGTGTAACATGAATAATAGGAAAAACAGACAATTTCAAAACAGAAATTAAAAACATGCGATGGACTAACGTTCACTCTTGCCTCAAATTGGAATTGAGCTAGTCTTCGACGCTTTACCAGAATCATATCTACAGTTTGTAGTAATCTCCTCTCAGCTGTGCGTATTTCTGTGTTTGACACAGACAAGGCGAAGTAAGTCATACATGAATATGGATAGTTGACAGCACCGAAACCGGATAAAAAAGCCATAATGGTTACTCCAATTACCCCTATTCGACCAATACACTGCTCCAAAAATACAATACCATGCTTTCCACCCAAAATAGGGAAAGATGTTCCCACTTTCCAAAAGGCATATAAATATGCAGTCATAAGTGCAAAAGAGAAACAAAGTCTGATTGAATTTTTAGGAGGGATGACACGTAAGCTCTTACTGATATAGAATGATATGTAAAATGGAATAATTATTATGACATCTAAGAGTGTTGTTAAAAGAATAAACTGCCAATGTATGCGCCTAGAAGAGGCTTCCAAAACATCTAGTATTTCAAAAATTACTAACTCGAAGACTGTACAAGACAAGGAAAAAGTAAGTGAAAAGATAAGTACTACTACAGAGTCCTTTACTTCATAGTCACGGAAAAGCTGACGAAGAAAGAAAACCCATCCTCCTATAAAGAAAGCTATCTGAGAAAAAAATAGGACGCAAGAGTCCAGTAGGAAACTCATAATAAGCGCATGGCCTTGACATATCAACAAACATAATGATGAGACTATAAATTCATACTAATGAAACATACTTCAGTGATCATATGTCTAAAATTAAAAATGAAAGAGAAGTAATTGCGGCAGCAAAATAATTAGCGCGTTTTTCAATCTTGCTGAAAACTATGCTAGACGACCGATGATGGATAATATCATAAATGAACATGAGAATAGCCCACTACAGTCTGAGGATGACATTTTACAATGTGATAGATATGGCTTTCGTGGTGGCCAGCAGTATACAAATCCAGAAGAGTAGGTTAAATTAGTTTTTACATCTGTGTTATTCTATTTGTTTAATTTGTATATTCTTCGTTTTTGGAATCAGGTGCTTAAAACTTCTATTCACTTTTTGAGTGCTGTCATGTTTTTCACAACTATCCACATGTACGGTCCTTACTTTCAGCATAACTTAAGACATCGTGCTTTTCGAGTGAACAGCACGATCAAGCTTCTCAGTATCTTTTCTGTATCCATTTCTCCAAATTTTCAGTTTTTTTTCCTATTTCATATTAAAAGCAGTTAATGATTATTTATATCTAGTCTTTATCACCATATTTCCTTTTTATTTTCTTATTTTCATCCACCTTATCCTATAAAGGTGTTCATTTTGCTGTGATGATGAGATATGGTAGCTTGGTTCAATAAATATATATATGTTCCTGGTCCTACATTGTAGATGACTGACTATCATGGTGAATGAAATCGAACTACTGGTTTTTTACATTTAATTCACTCAGCTTCAACGTACATGTTGAATCTCCCTATCTTTTACAAGATAAATCCAAGTAATTCAAAGTACCGTTTATTCGTTGCTATTAGATAAGGAAGCTTGCTCAGCGCAAGATTATTCCCCTTATCCAAAACCTTCCAAATACTTTCACTTTGATATAGGTAATACTTCATTGCATCGAAATACTGTTTATCACGTTCCGCAGTTCTGTCTGTGGTCATACGGTCTACATGCCTTTAACTTAGCTCATTTGGGTGCCTGGTATGTCCTACATAGCTTCGGTTAGGATACTCGCATACTATATATCCTTCGAAAAGTCCAATACTAACACCTATAATTTAATTCTGATTCAGATTAGTGTGAGCTTTTCTTGTTAGGAATGACTCGAGTACTTCCAAACACGAGAAAATCAGGCTGGCTTCAGACCTGGTCGTGGCTGCATCGACCACATATTCACTATTCGTCAGGTTTTAGAGCACAGACATGTTTATCGGCCTCCGACAATGATAGTTTTTTCTTGACTTGAAAGCAGCATTTGACTCTGTAGACCGAGAGGTTCTGTGGCAGTGTCTGTCATTGAAAGGTGTACCTCAGAAGTACGTAAACCTTGTAAAGGCTCTTTACTCGAACACTACCAGTCGAGTGAGAGCTTATGGCGAACTGTCATCTGATTTTATAACCTCAAGCGGTGTCCGACAAGGCTGTCCACTATCCCCATTTTTGTTTAACTTTATTATGGACTTATTGCTGGAAATAACACTCTCGTCGACTGAATTTTCAGGAATTAATCTCCTACCAGGGGCTCCACTAAGCGACTTAGAATATGCAGATGACATAGCCCTGTTTTGTGAAGACGCTGGCAAAATGCAGAGTCTTCTCTCAGAACTGAGTAATAATGCCAGGATGTTTGGGATGCGTTTCTCCCCATCTAAATGTAAATTGTTACTTCAGGACTGGCCTGCGTTAACACCAGAACTAAGGATAGGGAGCGAAGTAGTCGAACGCGTCGACAACTTCACTTATCTTGGAAGTCTGATCAGCCCTAATGGATTGGTGTCTGACGAAATCTCAGCACGAATTTAAAAAGCTCATTTGGCTTTTCCCAACTTACGTCACCTATGGCGAAGACGAGATATCCGTCTACTAATTAAAGGACGAGTATGCTGCGCGGCAGTTCGCTCTGTTCTACTTTACGGCTGCGAAACATGGCAATTAAGAGTAGAAGGTACTCGTAAGTTACTAGTATTTGACCACAAATGCCTTAGAAATATTGCTCGCATCTGTTGGGATCACCGGGTAAGTAATAGTGAGGTTCGACACAGGCTATTAGGAAATGATGATAAATCAGTTGATGAGATCATGAATCTTCATCAACTGAGATGGTTGGGCCACGTGTTACGCACGCCTGAACACCGATTACCACGACGCGCAATGCTGATTAGTGTAGGGGATGGTTGGAAGAGAGTTAGGAGCGGCTAAACCAAAACGTGGCATCAGTGCTTGAAGTCACTAACTTCCAGTCTGGGCCATGTTGGTAGATGCAGACTGCTTGGTTGGGGTCCGCGTGACTATCGTAACCAATGGTTGGAGACTCTAGGTGACATGACTCAGAATCGATCACAATGGCGTAGGTGTATACACTCTTTATCTTCCCTTAAACCTTAATATTAAAATTGCTTCATAACGTTCTTCCTTGCTATGCTATATCCATATATACAACCTACCTTTTATATACTACCACCACTAAATTAACTATTTCTATGAATCCGGTGTTCATCTTGTTGTGCTAACGAGGTATGGGAACTTGGACCGATGCATATGTGTGCTTGGTCCTACGTCGTAGCTGACTGACTGACTGAATTAACATGTAGAATAATTTATTATATTAGTGAAGATCGATAAGTTATTTTCGTGACTCGGCCTCAACATTTTCAACCATTTCATCTACACATTTTCAGTCTCATTTTGATGAGATGCCCTAAAAACTGTGTTTCGGCAACCGTATATATTGCTTCCTTGTTTATAGAGTTTGTTTTACTGAAGCAGTGATAAGCTGTGCTCGTCTTGTTTGTCTTTTATATGCTAGAAATCGATAGTATATCCCAGTAAATCCCACCGATTATTTGTCATTTCTACTACTTGGCTTTTTTTCTAATACATGTCTCTTTGACCTTTCATATACATGCGATACTAATTATTTCTAATATGCCATAGATTTATGCATAAATGGCGTTTATTCTTCAAAACTTCCGTCTCATACTTTATTCCTTAAAGCAAATGAATAGACTCAAATATGTAGTCCACGGGTTCCAGGACTGGTTAGAATATCTTTTAGGATTTACTGTTCGCAGTTACAATTTTAAAATTATTATAAGTATAGTAATTACCCCGTAAAGTAAAACTATTATTTGATGGTTAAGGATTTAACCGGGGACTTGTCTTTGAACTAGTAAATCCGGTAATGCAAGTATCAGTTCACGATTTTTCACTGTTTACCCAGCGAATCTTTGTAGTGTCTTCCGTAATTCACGGTCCGCACAATTAGTAAATGACTTTGTCTAAAACATAATTTTGTGCATGTTTTCGCTGCTTGCTAGCAGTTGAAAAACATGCTTGACTAGGTAGCCTTTTAAATTCATGAAGACGTGAGATCAAAATTACAAGTCATGTGAGGAATGTTGCTCAATAAATAATATTACTTCGTTGTGGTTCTGACTAAACAAGTAATGGATTACAATTTTTTGCAAGTTCACTTTTTCGTATGTATAAATAGATCAGTATATCTTTTTCAACCCAGTTTAGGTCCGTAAACCAGGTCTTCAGTCATACTTTCGATGTGAAAACTAATGATGCTACTCTATTTCTAAAGCCATAGTAGAAAAATCAGCCTCCAAAACTCTGACTTTATGGTTGAAAACTGAATTCCTTAACCACTAGGTCATTGTTTAGAATGTATAATCTTGTCGCGATCGGGCAAAAACCTAGCCTATATGAGTTGAAAGTATTAGATATTGCATAGTATCTATTGATTTCAGTAGCCTGGCAATAGAAGTAACGTACTGGATTATGTTGTTCACTTTGCAATTGTTATCCGCCTAACCTATTTCGGTTTGGCCAGTAGAATAATACCACTTCTAAACAAACAATATCTCATAAATAGTTACGTGAACACATATTTTTTAAATTCACTTAGTATTGTTTGTTTGAATCTTCCCATCGATGTGTTAGGACTGCAACTGGTCAGTCTGTAATTGGCATATGTGCATACTGTGCGTATTGCCTCGATATACCTTAATTTAAAGCATGGTAAGCAGAGATGGATAGTGGCTAGCAGTGGAATCCAGGACTCACGTTTCGTCCTATTTGGGACTCGTCAGCTGGATGTACCTGCATCTCAGAGTTGAAGTTCACTCCAGGACTCGAACCTAGTACCTTTCACTTCAAACGCCATCGCGTTATCCACTCAGCTACTGAGTCCTGGTAGCCACTTGCTTGTGTAATGGGGTGAAGTTTGAATTCACTTGGTATTGTTTGTTTGAATCTTCCCATTGATGTTTGGAACTGCATTAAGTAATTACCAAAATGTTATTCAACATAAATACTGTGTCTAGAATTTATAGATTGCATTTTGTACGTTGTACTTCAATGAGTGCTGCTTGAAACAGTTGTGATTGTCAATATGAATAAACTATCGCAGAAAACCTATTTGCTTTCTATCCATCTCAGTCAAGTATAAAAAGACTTATTTGTACTAGAAAACCGGCGCATAGTTTAATAATACAAGAAATTTACAACCCCAGTTGACTGTACATCATCTGATTTTATAGCTTATGGAACCGTTGAATAATTTTCTCAGTGTAATTTCATTTTTACATCGAGTCTGCAATTCGACTTCAAGTACTGGTTCCTCACAATCTCTTGACAATCAAACCACGTATCTTGTATTTAGTATATTGTAGCAGCAAATTATATCATCGTCTCAAATATTCTGCATCAGAGATATTTACATCGTCTCATAAAATTATTAGCCTTTTCAAAGCATTATTTAGAGTGCGTTTATTTGTTCGGCTTTGTCTTTTAATTACTTTTTTCATACAAATAAACTTCGTCAGTCTTTAGATACTATATTTCTTTACGCGACCGTTGTCGTAAAATCCCAGTTAATAGCTACTACTTTAATTTCCCACTGGGACTTGATTTTCTCAGCTACCTAGTTGACTGACTATCACTTATTCCTCCACCTTCTGTTGCCTGATAAGCCGGTGGTAGTTTTGGGGCAACTAAGCAACTGTCAGATAGTGAATATCTACGGTGTAATTAGATTATGAGGAAGAAATCGTACAGTTGTCAAAATGAGATCTTTTTACAACAAGCTTGATCTGGAAGGCCAGCTTTTTTTAGCAATGCTGTTGTAGTTTGAATTGTAAGGATTAACCCTTTACATCTTTCCTTGCTCTACAGATTTCTGTTGTTCTGTAGAATACGAACAAAATTTTCTCATCGATATCTAAAAATTAAAATCTGGCAAACCGCTAATACCAAAAAGACTTACACCAGCAGTTCTCTTCATTTTTGTTTCTCTTTTGTCATTGTGTATGATTATTAATATTGTTCCCTTTAGCTTTTACAAGTTCAAGTCCATAGTCAGTGTTAATAATTCGAGTTTGCGGAACAATATTTCTCTTTAGATCTTTTTAAATCACAGAATAACTGATTATTTCGCTTCTTGGTATTTTCTGAAGAGCATTTCACTTGTTTTGTACATATTTTCAGAGAAGATCGTGTTTCCATCGAGGTTATACGTTCACGAGAGTTAAAATGGAGGAAAATGTGTTCCAATTGGAGTTTATGGTATTTTAAATACCATCAAAAGCTACGTGATCGATGTCAAAAAGGAATTCCTGATTCATTTCGTTGTGAAGCTTGGCAACGACTTTGTGCAAGCCCAATGGTGCTTGTTCAACGTCAACGAATTATATGTGATGAGACTGCTGAGACAAAAACAACCTTAACAACTGAAGGAACTAGTCAAAGTGTTGATCATAGTAGTAAAAGTAAATTTCCTAAGCATCGTTTCGGCACATTATCAAATCGAACAAATTATAAAAGTTTACAAATGGTTATCACTTCTCCAAGTTTTCGTACTAGTCAAATTAAAGAAGATGATAGGTGAGTTTTAGGTCTGTATAATGTTTTTATGTGCTCATTGTTTCACATGACATGTATGTACTCCAAGTGGTACTTTTAGATCACTAATAATAACGTGTGACTTGCAGCTTGTATATCTACCTTTACATACCTCTCAAATTACTTGATAATCAAATAGTTTATACCATGCGTTATTTTTTCTAAAATTTTATTTAGATATGGTATATTTATTAGTAAATTGTATGGTGTAGTAAGACTAGTTAATTAATAAAGCAGTTTTCCACAGGGTAAATTGGGAAATGCATTTTATAAAATAATTTGCGTGTAAATTGAACGTAAAGACTTCATGTGCGAAAAATCGTTTTTGGGTATGTTCTGTACTAATTAACTCTACAACACCTAAATTTCTAACTAGTTTTAGTCGTCCATACATTCATTAAATATCTCTAATCCATTAAAATAATGTATTCAAATAACTCCAGTAAAAAGGTTTCTGCTTGACTACACAAAATCTCGGTATTCGAACTTGTACGGATAAAAAGACAAATGCTTAAAAGATTCTTATAGTAAATTATATTTGTGAAATTCGCAGCAATTCAATTTACAATAAATGTTGTCAATTTCCATTATTTTGTTTATACTGCTACCACATTGCAGTTGATCTTCTGTATTTCCGAATCAGACTAAATTTTGAGTGGATCTCTTGTTTAATGTCATCATTATTAACATTTCTATGGGTATATCACTTCGTTTTTAATACCATGGTCTTCATGATTCTCGACCTGATCTTAACTGGAATAATTAAATTATTGAATATTTGTTTCATGTCTTCCTGTTTGTATACTTATATATTTGTGTATGATATATATATTAGTTCGTATTATGCATACATAAGTTTATTTTAATTTACACTGAATGATAATGTCTTGTTCATATCCTTATGGTTCCATGAAGAATCAATAAACTTTGGTGATAATAATAGTAACAATAATGACATTAAAATAGCTATAATTGATGCCTTAATAATTGTGATTTAGTATAGCCCGATGAATATATGTGCCTGGCCCTGCGTTGTAGCTGACTGACTGATAGGCTTATTTGGTAAATTATAACATTTAATATATTGAATAACTAAAGCCTAATAGAAACCTGCATATTAGTGTGAGCTATTAAAAATGGCAATCTCTAGTTTATGAGGTGAAGTACTATTTGATATTTAGTTTTACTGAATTCACCGAGTAATCTTTTCAACTTGGGTATTCTGATTGGTGTGGTGAAATGCAAACAGTAAAATGTTTCCTACTTAGATATTTTACTTGTTATGTAGTTGAACATAGCAGAAAATCTCTGGACCCATGTTTCGTGCTAGCCGGCATTCTGCAGACGAACCTGAAAATTAAAGAAACTATTCTTCCGATTGGGGTTCGATTCCATGCCACTCAGTTTCATAGTATGAGATGTTACCACTGAACTATTCAGTATGTGACTAAATTACTGACTAAATCCAAACCGTTAAACCTGGTTAGTAAATCCACCTCTATTGAATCTACAATGTGCAGATTTTCTCTCTAATTCTTTACTATGGATTAACTTTTCAGTTAATTAAAATAACCTATTGTATCAGTGAATAAAAATAAAGATAATTCAGCAAAGAAAATTTTCTTTTTGACGAAATCATTTACTTGAGCTGTTTATTCGTGTTTTCAGTTTTCGCTAAACTCCAGTCATCATTTTCCACATTTAGATATTTAATCACATACACACAATTACAGTTTGATATAGTATAATGGATATTTTTACTTAAAAGTAGCATACTATCTCAAGATTGGTAAAACTATCACCTGTGAGTAGACAATAGTTTATTTTTTCCATGTGAAGTCATCTGCTATTATCTTGAGGTTCAGATAGTCAATAACGAATACCTATTATATGGTTTTTTCATTTCTAAATGAAACTGCCTACCCAGCGAAGATGCTTACTTAGTGTTATCAAAAAATAAATTGAAAATATTACGTAGTTGATTGGATTATTTCCGAACCGACCACCTCTAACCGTATCGACGAACCAAAAAATAGATTGTCATTAGTAACATCATTGATCGTGACACTAGGAGACGCCGGTTAGAATCTCTAAATGAATATCAGTTCCTTCATCGTTGTAAATCTTGCCAACCAGTACAAAATTCAATTCTAGGCTTTTCTGATGATGACCCCTAAACCATCTTATAGCACCAAACTTTATTGGTTGAAACACTCAAATGGTGTTTATTTATTCGCTTGACTCTAGTAGCTTGGTTTTGTTACTTTGCAATATGCCTGGAATACAGTGGCCAATTCCGTTAAAATTACATGTTAGAACTATGCAAACCAAGTGATTGTCAATGCACTCCGAATAGATTCTAATAGGCAGTTGTATATGTAGTGTCCCGAAAAACAATTTAATAAGACTGCGATGCATATCGATTTATATGTGGATTCAACATACTTTACCTACTGATACTAATGTTAAATGGTATAATATCATGGTTGAAATGAAACTTTTGTAAGTTAGATTAACCACTAATCGTAGTTGAACTAACTGTGAATTTAAAATTTCTTTCAATACTCACTAAAATATTGACTATTATTTAAAAGAATAAAAAAAACAGAACCATGTGATTTATAGTTAATACATTGTGACGATACTTGTTGTTTATAATTTGTATTGGGTTTTTTGGCATGTTACTCTTTTCTTCTGTTCATGATCACGATTTACTCAGTTTGTAATTGTTTAAGTGGAAAGAATCCACGTGTTTTATAACCATATATATATATATATATATATATATATATATATATATCGAGAGAGAGAGGTCGCATATTATCCACTTGTTATGATCATCTTATAAGGACAAGTGTCATATAGTAAACATATCACAAGATCCTCCGTTTATTTTTACTTAGAATACAAAGCAAGTAACATATTTCTTGTTGATATAGCATACAGTCAGTCAGTCAGCTACAACGTAGAACCAGGCACATTTATGCATCGGTCCAAGTTGCCATATCTCGTTAGCAAAACAAGATGAACACCGGATTCATAGAAATAGTTAATTTAGTGGTGGTAGTATATAAAAGGTAGGTTGTATATATGGATATAGCATAGCAAGGAAGAACGTTATGAAGCAATTTTAATATTAAGGTTTAAGGGAAGATAAAGAGTGTATACACCTACGCCATTGTGATCGATTCTGAGTCATGTCACCTAGAGTCTCCAACCATTGGTTACGATAGTCACGCGGACCCCAACCAGGTAGTCTGCATCTACCAACATGGCCCAGACTGGAAGTTAGTGACTTCAAGCACTGATGCCATGTTTTGGTTTAGCCGCCCCTAACTCTCTTCCAGCAAAAGCCAAACGAGCTGATATAGCATACACCATGAAATAAGTAATAAAATTATAAATTTAAAGGCTGGAAAACTTACATAAAGATACGTCTGATAATGCCTTTATTTCTTTTTTCTAATTTGTTTTAAACTTTGTTCAATATGAAAATGTCCTAAAGTTCTACTTCAGTGCTTTTCAGCCAACATAGACGTTGCAATAACTCTCTGTTACTAATATATCTGATTCTCTAGTTCTTACCACTAAGGCCAGAGATTTTACCCTAGAACTCATCTATTTCATGTTGGATGAATTTATTGGGGACGTAAATACAAACCGCGAAAGATAATGAAGTTTATCCCTTCCTTCTCTAGTTCGTCAGTTTTCATTCGAGCACACAGTATACAAGCGATAGTTGATTGAAGTTCTGTTCTTTCAAACTTAATGTTGTATTTACATCAACGAAATCACGAGTCGTTAACAGTTCTTTGGAAATATGAAGAGTCAATCATGTTGGTTCCCTAAACTAGTTGGGTGTAGTTAAGTGAATATCTACACACAAGTATTGTACGTAGGTTTCGAAGAAAGCAAGTTTATGCCTATTGTTTGATTAGACATGGGGTTTGAACAAAGAGGGCTGCAACCCATACTTAAGATCCCGGTTTTGAGAAAACTTGGATAACGTTTTGAATATGTTTTAAATCATAAAATGTAGAATTGTGTTGTTTTTAGAACGCTTGAACATTATTTAAACTACTTTATAGGTGACCATACTACATAATTCCCAAATTTTAGAATTGAAAATCCATCTCACCCACCGAAACCCCAACATATTGTTACTAATATCTAAGATGAACATCGAGGTAAATTTTCAGTCGTAAAAGTTGTTTAATGTTAATCATTGCCTGACCCAATTAATAATGGTTATCTATCTCAATTCATTCAGTTTCATCTCTGTATTAAATACATAGTTTCAATCTTGACAGTAAACTACATTCGCTCTTCTTACTCAAACAACTTATGATGAACTTAGTGTTCAATCGCATACATCATTACAAAATAAATAATACTTGTTTCTTTGATCAATCACATTTTGAAGTCATCTTATTCCTTTAATACTGTATTGATACCTTTTCGTCAACTTACATAAGTTAAGTTTGACTTTACTCTTTTATCTTTTCCACATACCATTGACTTTATATTCTATTACCTTCTAACAAACTAAAGGATTAACTAGCAATATCGTTTCGTTTTTGATCTACACAGTGTATTCTTGCGCATTTCTATTGTATTCTGTGTATATACCTCTATTCTGTGTGTGTTTTATTAAGTCTTCACAAATTGTCCTTAAAGTAAACTTAAGGTCATTTCTTTTTACAGTTACCGTAGTTGAATTACGTGATTGAGAGTATACTTATTTTGGAAATCAATTTAGTTTTTGTGTCATATAAAGTGATCAAAATGTAAACTTTGATCGGTCAAAATTTCTCTCAACCAATTTTTTTTGGTTACAGCATAAATTCACATTATTTTGACATTTTCTAAATTATTTTTTCTTTTCGATTTTTCATTGCAAATTTATTTATTTTGTGGTATTCTCTTTTTTCTCCATTTTAGTCTCGTTTCATTGAAAAATTTATTTTTAAATGATCGATCTTAATGTTTTATTGACTACTGATTTATTTGATGTTAGAGAACTTTGAGATTAGGATTAGTAGTAGTAACCAAATAACTAATTGAGTCTATTTCATTGAAATATATATATATACTTTTCCATATTATAAACCTAAGATCATTCACTTGTAGACCGGTTTTATTGTCTACAAAACAATAATAAACCAATCAATAATAGGATTGTAAACAGCAGATATTGACCAATTCATATTAATCTAGTTGCTTAGACCACCATAATTGGGGTAGGTATCTAACTTATGATTCTGTTGTGCTAAGTTGATTGCTTAAACCAAGAAGTTAACCCTGTGCATATTCGAAGGTTGAATAGTAGCGGGTGAATAAATTTCCAGCATTCCGATGTATATATAGTCTCCTGGTTGAATGACAGCTACTGGTCTGTTTTTAGATTGAAATGAGCTCCTCTTAAATATTTCTTTTCTCCATCAGATTCCTCGTTATGTCTTTTCTCTCTGCTTTCTATTTAAACAGACGCAAACTTTTATTTCGAAAATTGCACGGGTAAGTAAATAGTTTTTCCCGAGTATATCCATGTTCATTGTATACGTGTGCCTATTTTTTTCATTTTATCAGTGCTTACGTGAATGCAATAACTGTACGATATGATTTGTCTTAGTTACAAAATATTTCAATGAAAATATCACTGCACTCAATATACATTTTTACTCTTCCTGAGCCTTATTTAATGTGATTTGTGATTCATTTAGCTTTCTGTCTAGCTTTATTTCATTCTGTATGAATTATACTTCAACATCTTGACATCTCGTATATTATTGTGTCGTTATATATATGTCAGTCAGTCAGTTAACTGCAACGTAGGATCAGGCACATATATGCATCGGTACAAGTTGCCACACCTCATTAGCACAACATGATGAACACCAAATTCATAGACGTAGTTACTTCGATGGTAGTGGTCTAGCTTACATCGAATCATGAATTCAACTATTAAAATTACTACAATCTCCATAATCCCCCATTCTGATCAAAATATAGTATTTATCTGCTATTTATCCATTTTTACTGGTTATATGTACAGAAAACAGAAAATTTCAGACTAAATTATTTGTCGTGATTCTCTTTATTTCACTGAAACATTTTTTCATGCATTTTTGTATATATGTATGTAATCATTTTACGATTTTTTTGGCTGTTATCAATATAAAAGCATATTTTGTCTATCACTAGTGTTCGCCCAATCGATCAGTCTGGCAAAATGAATGACTCATTTATGGAAAAAATACAGAAAACTGTTTCTTCTATTTTATTTTCTCTATCACTATTGTTGATTAAATATACTTCGTCTTTGTTCTTGCCTTTCCATTCCTTTTCCTCTCTCGCTTATTTGGTTACTTATTTTGCTATCAGATATTGATGTCAGACATTCATTGTCAATTGTGATTACATCTCAGTCCTACAGGAGGTTGGTCGCGGCCCGAATAGTTCAGTGGTAACGTCTCTGACTGTGAAGCTGAGTGACACGGGATCGAATCCGCCAGGGAGCATCAGTTCCCTCAAAGATTACAGGTACACCTTGCTGACGAGTGCCAAGTAGCACGAAACCCGGGTCCAGGGTTTCCTGTTGAGCACCACCTTACCTCAATATATATATCGTGCAAGCAGTGTCGAGCCACCTAAACTGGTGGCCACATTGCAACTTGATCGATAGCATTCGATCAGCACTAAGAAGGACTTGACATGCATGACATTAATCACCACCCAGGGATCAATCAATTGTGATTCATCGTCTTCTTTTTGTTAGTTAATTTAGCTTCCTCCTTGTGCAATCCATAAGGATGAATTCTTCATGCTCCATGAAATATGGTCAGGTTAAACAGTAAGTAGGGTATGGAAATCATTCTGCAATTCACTTTATTTAATAAAGGGAAGAGAAGATTAATGTATTAATAGTGATAATGATGGGAATAGTTGTCACTAGTGACTAATTAATCCAGTTGTAGCCTCAATGACCGGTTGAATATTTGTTGTTTTGTTAAACAATGATAAAATAAGAGACAATTCAGGTAAACTTGTATTATTTTGGTGAGAATTTTTTAATTTCCTGTTGTTGATATTCAGGACTATAATTGACCAATCTCTGTTGCCATATATATATAGATTATTGGGCAAGACTATAATTTGTGGATGACCTTTGAGTGACGCCAAAGTAGAGTCTAAAGAAGCTTGGAAATTAGTTTGTGAAATTAGGATCGAGATCTAGAGTGAAAAGTTATGTTTATAAATTAGAGTTGAAGTTTTCATTACAAACTGAGATCAGCTGTAATGCAAAAATCCTATTTGGCCATATAAATGAATGAATTTCGCGCCAAAATCTAAGACTCCGCCTCTAATCTGATTGGTTCGTTCACAAATCATAGTCTCGCCGATTATTGGCGTATACTAGGGCCTGTGTCATCAATCTGTTTATTATGGTAGCAGTTTTATTCTCTAGTCCGATTTATAACTCCTACCTGATCTCAATGCAGCACAAATAGAAAGTTACTATATATGCACAATTCAATTATAAATGAAATGAAAATAAAGCATTAAAATAATAATGAATAATAAGTCTAGAAGTTAAGACGTTACAACAGTTTATAGATCAAACGAAAGCTTATAAATAGGAGAATATAAAAATACAAGTGTTTACTATTTGTACAATAAAACTACAAACAATAATTCCCAACTAGATAAGTATGAACGTTCGTCTTCTCTTAAATCCTCTTCGATATGGCTGACACGTTATATGGTTTTAAGAGAGTGATTTAAATTTTTAACTGAGGAATAGGATTTTTAAGCAGGTTGGTTAAATCGTAAAGTTTTTACAGGCTTCAATAATCATTGTCGACACAATCTAGATAGGTAGTGCTTCGCGATCTATGTCATCCTGTTAGGAAAACCAATGTGATATTTTGCTTAAGTAAATTTTGTGTCTTCACTATCTAGGTAATTTACATAATGTATTAATAATATCCTTTGTTTTCTATCTTCCAGCACTGACAGTACTGTATTAAGTCAAGGGTCTAGTTTCCACTCTTTGCGCATTAGTAGGGTTAAAGATGTTATTCCTAATTCACATGATAGCTGTCGATATCCGTCAGCACTACCTCTTTCCTTACAAAATCACGATAGTCCAAATACTCAAAGAATATCACCGTGGCAGCGAAATACTTTCAATAACGAATCCATTCGATCAATATCCGGTACAACTCATAGCAGTCTTCATAATTTACCTTCTAGTGCATTGAACAATGTCAATTCTTCAATGTTTAACCAATCTGCACTACCTAATTCAGGTTATTCAACAATTGCATCTATTCATGGTAAATCATGTTCACCAGAACCACATATTGATACTACTGATATGATCAAATCAAATCATGTTACAACTAGAAATTCCGGTGGTTATGCTAGTCTTAGTACGACATCTTGTACAGATAGTTCTAGTACAAATCATTTTCAAAACGAAATTCAAATTCACGAAGCATCATCCACAGATTCATGTACTTCCATTTTAATATCATCATCTGTCGGATCGTCATCATCACCAATTTTGCATCGAATTACACGAAATATTGACGTATTTTCTAACCAAACAAGTGGTGATATTCTAACAGAATACGATAATGATGATCCCAGAGCTACACTTGTCCCATCGATTGATTTAGATCCAGAGAAATTGTATACAAATTATTGCTTACAAGAAGGGACATCAGCTAATTGTGATCAAATACGTCGTGATATTGATCGTCAATTTCCTTTCCATGAATTATTCAGTGAAAAAGGAGGTCATGGGTCAGTTCCATAGTCATTATCAGTTCGTTTGTATTTATTGATTTCCTGTGTTTTTAATAGGCAAATAAATAAAACTAAGTAAATTGCACAAACACATGCTCGTGTATCAGAGCTGGTGAACTGCACGTACTTTTAAAGCAGTACTCACATGAATTTGTTTCAGCGGACACGACTTATTTGTCCTGATTCACGGTTTACCTCAAAAATAACTCACTTTAAATAGAATACAACCAATTCCAATTTTATTTTCATGCAATATTTTGTTTGTTCTCATTTTCATTCATACTAAATCGATCAGCTTTCTTTCAAGTCTTCGTGATTAAATGATAATTCCTATCTCAAATTCAATGGCTCTAAATTTGTCTATCTCAGTATCATCATTCTATAACACTAGCGTGTGTATAGATGATTGGAATAGTTATTCTGTTCTATTTCTTCCTCAACCCTCTATCTTTCTCTCTACAAATTTCATTAATCCAACATACACTTTTTATGATTATTATTATTACTAAATGTTGTTGGTTTTATTAGGAATAATCATTAACAGACAATAAAGTGCAAGGCGGTTCAAGTTATTTCTAAGAACATAAAACAATGGTAGCTACCATACCAGTAAATATTTACAACTATTTAAGTGCGCGTATTGTATTCACAGGTATACATATATATCCTCATTGTTTGATTGTCTCATCAAAAAATGATTTACTACCATTCTATTATGTACATCTAATTTTCTCGACAAAATACACTCAAATGGTTATGGGCTATCATGTCGTGTGATACTCTCTATCTGTGGGTGATGTAGCCGGGTAGGTTGAGACGATATTAAGTAACGAATCGGACTGAACAACAACATACTACAACTACTCTTTCCTCATGGTACATTTTAGTTTAAGGTTTTTTTAAGAGATATCACTTGGCTCTGTGGCTGAGAGGTGTTGTATTTTGGTTGAAATACAATTATAAATGTATTTTAGAATAAGAATTTTTTAGAATTAGAATTAGAAAATGTTTAAGTAGCTTACTCTGATTGATCCAAAAACATAAAGTATGCAATAAAACTGTTCGAACTATGTTACCTTGTCATTAAAAATATTTAAATGTTGGCATCTAATAAAGCCACTTCCTGTCGGTTATTTGACTTCGATTTACTTGTTAGTTTTTTAAGTAATGACAATCCTCAAAGCACTATACCTAATAACTTTCAAAACATAGAAATGTTAATTACTGGTTCGCAATTTAAATTAATAATAGTATTATCGTATGAGAAGGTAGGTATTAACCTATGAGAAAGCTTTTTAATATAACATCTATACACATAAGAGAACAGGGTAATTGTAATTCATGACTAATTTGTTTCAGTCTTTCATCTTTAAAACAAATGAAAATCGGAACAGTTATTTGCATTATAGACTAACGCTAGATGGGGAACTATTGACGGTCAGGGAACGTTAGACAAATATTTCATTCTAGTATGGGACTCAAGTTACGCGCGCATCTTTGGAGCAGTGATTTAAAATACATTGGTCTCTACTTTTGATTTCAGTCAGTTCACTGTATGGTATGATCAATACTCAGAATCATTGATGATAGTTGTTTTATTCTTGATATATTTGAACTTCACCACTTAAAACCCATTAGAACCTCAGTAAGTCATCTACAAGTTATTAATTAACGGGGACACATCGTTGAGTTGTCTTGGTTGTAAATAGTGCCCTCTAGTTTTTAGTGATTCTTGAGCTATCATTTTGTCATGAAAAATCTACGTTGAACAAATTGCAATGGTGCATCCAATAAAAATTTTAATTTTTCTCCAACTATTCATTTTAACACATACAATCGCCGCATTTATCGTTTCCAACTAAATGCCACTATATCTTGACGTCATGCTCTTCTGCCAATCACTTCAGATTGACATTTGAACAAGGTTCTATTGTCTTTATAACGAATTCTATCGCATATTATTATAAGAGTAAATTATAAATAATTTTCAGATGTTATATTTAATGTTGATATCACATATTCACATTGTTTCTGCATCGCAGTATAAAACAACATAAAAAGTTGTTTCATTTGTTAAATAGTTGTCTACCACGAAATCCATATATCTATTTATTAGTCCTATCGTTTTTGTGCTTAAATTTGCATACACTTAAGTTTTTTTTAAATAATTTATCAGTCTTGTTGAAAACCATATTTTATGGTAAATAAATGACCTACCAACTTTTTTCTCTTTTGACGATTTTTACTGGGAAAAAAACATTCAAATAAACAAACGAAAAGATTAACGCGTATTCTTTGTGTTACGACAGAATTAAATGATATATATTACTATAGAATCGTTCTGTTTACGAAATGTAAATGGGCATATATTTTTGTTTTCGATTTATTACAAGGCTACTACTACTGATTCACACACATTGTCATAGAATAAGAACTTCATGAAAATCATAATATTGATTCGTGCTGTAGTTTAAACGTATACAAAATCATCGTGCACTGTGTTGTTATCATATACATACGTTAATTCTAAGTCATTTTGTGCATTTTGATTTGATTAATTTTTCATCAATTGAATTCAGTCATATTTGTATCGCCTGTAACATGAACGGTGTCGGATTCCTTAAATTCGTCCGAATTTTATAAATATAGCAAGTAGCTGATTATAATTTGTTTATAAACACAATAATGAAATTATTAGCGTTTCATGTTACTTATGCAAAATAGTGGTTCGACCAAGGTCCTACAAAAGTTATTTAGTATTTACTGTGTCCATCACTAATAATACAGTTTGGAAATGACTGATATAACGATAATTATGCGATCTGTCTACGAATAATTAGATAGTCATCAAACAGTGTTTTAGTCAACTGGTTATGCGAAGTTAGTACGGTCTCCAGCGGAATGGTAATCACACAAGAATCACTTAAGTCAGATAGGCTTAGTAAAAGCTAGCTAAATAATTATATATATATATATATATATATATATATATATATATATATATATATATACCATACAACTTACTTTCATTCTTTTATTGTAGTCAAGAAAGTTTATACACCTTACTAAAAGCTTATACAATTAGACATCCAGAGAAAGGTTACTGTCAAGGTCAAGCCCCACTAGCAGCTGTCCTACTCATGTTTATGCCTGAAGTTGATGCCTTTTGGACTTTCAATGAAATTTGTGAACGTTATTTAGAATCTTATTATGATGATGGTCTTGTAAGTGATGGTTTTTGCAGTTTTGTTTTCTGAGTGTACTAAAGTCGTTTAAATTGAAAAACAATAAAAAGAAGATATTTATGTTTCTATATTGTTTCGACATCAGTTGGACATTAAAGTACAATCTTTAAAATATTGTTTTATGAATTGATAAAAGCTAAAATTAACACCTTACGAAATAAAAGCTAATGACGGACCAAATATTTCGTGATTAAAGGATTCGGCATTCGATAATAAAGTCTAACCATTGGAAGCCAGCTCAGTAATTTAGAGTTCGGGCATTTGCGTGTTAGACTAAAAGTTCTTGGTTCAATTTTCGGTCGTGGGGTCCTAGACACGCGCTGCTGTACTGTCCGAGTCAAGGACAATTCGTCTTGTGCTTCTTGGTTTTCAATGATGTTGCAGCTAAGATCAATTTATGGTTTACATTACACAGTGAAGTCACATATTCAAACCTCGTTCTATTTAATCTGGTTCGACCAGCCGCGTCATATCCCACTAATCTATCTTAGACACATAAAATGTGACTTACAGCCCGATACATAAATCTGATCCTGGTTATCGAGTTTCATTGTGTAGAATGTGGCTAATGATATTTATGTAGTTAATGGTTTTTTCTTCGTTTCTCAATTAGGAACGAGTACAAATTGACGGGGACGTCTTATATGCTCTTCTTAAGTCGATACATCCTCCAATATACAAATTTTTAGTAAGTTGTTTTCTGAAACATGTGTTGGATTTCTCTTAATAACCATCTTGCTGAATTCATGTAATTTTTAATAGTGAATTATCAAGATTTTTTACTTGTATTGAATGCTGTTTTTCATCGCTTTTGCTAAATTCTTAACTCACCTAAGTTCAGTCCTGTATGAGTGTATAATCATATGTGGACACTGTCATGAAGTTTCATTTAAGACAAAGTAATTTCACAGAGCTCATTAGCTTAGTTACCATCAGCTTATGACGAAAAATATCTTTCTTCCAGTTATATCTTTATTCACATACGATTGGTTGTTTTCCTGAGTGACACAGAAGTTTTTGTTATTATTGTCATTATTATTTTCATTACTGACCTTGTTTATCAATCAAAGTAGAATGACCTAGTTATTCGCTAAATAAACAATATAATATCCACATGACTGGAAGAAAAAAGTTTAAAAACAAAGATTCAGAAAAAAAACAAAAAAGATCTACACATCGACTTATTCAGTAGAGTATACTAAACTTCAGTTGTATATTGAATCATACTTTCTATGGATTTACCGTTTGTCTGGACTTGAAAAACATTTGTAGACAGTACGCCCGTCACACCTCCATTTCGAATGTTTAAAACAGACCTGGAAATCCTTATATGTTATGCTCTACGATTTTGTGAATACACATTGTTTTTATCGACAAACATACGAGCAGTGAGTAGATGATCATAAATCTTCAGAAAAATCACGCATTCGGTTTTTTAATTAATTCTGAAGGTTGATCGTTTTCTGTTGCGAAAGTTGTTTACTTTTTTGCGATTTACTCAATGATCTACTGTGGTTGTTTCGTATTTCCTAATAAAAATGGAGGACGAATTATTTTTTTTTAAAGTTACGGAATAAATCGTGCTACGATTACCACCGATGCTACTACCAAGTCATCATTTCATTTATAGTCTACTGAAATACATAGTTGTTTTAAAAAAGGAACTACACTTTATATAGATAGTCACCAAGAAAGTACATGTCGTTTTAATTAGCATACATTAATGTTTACGTCATTATCTAATGAATTCATTGTTATTAGTATATTTTCTTAATTAACAGACCATATTATGTGCATGTGTGTTTCCTTCGTAGTCATCCTAACTATCAGCTGATACATCTTTTTGTACCTTATAGGTGGATCAGGAAGGAAATTCCTCACTGGTTTAGTTCTTTACTACTGATAATCATTTCAGGGAGATAACTATTTAAACTGTAGAGTTCATTGATTGATACCACTGTCTTCTTATACTTGAAAGCTGGATACCGATAGTGATAATAATAATAATAAAGGGTACTATTACTACTAATAATAGCTTCATTCACTCCCGTATGTTTGGTTAAAGAGAACAATTCCTTGCACGAAGTATGCTTTTTTGTAACAAGTTCCTGTCCTATATGTATGTCATATATATATATATATATGATTCACTAGCAGTCTGTCATTCATTTCGATTCGTAGGCGTTTGCTACTTGTTTTGCCTTCACGACAATCTTTCCCACTACATAATTTTATTGAGGCTTAAATGCCAATGTAGCTTAATTTACCAACGATTTCGCTGGCAGTAATCAGCTTCTTAATTTGTTGTAAAACTTTGGTTAAAATCAAAAATGTTCCAGTAGATTAGGGCGCTTTCATAAATTACCACTCAACTGGAACAAACTAATACACAAACGTGTATTTAAAGATTTGCATATTTTTAAAAATAGCGGACTCAAACGTTTATGGCAGGCCTCTACTGTTGTCACATATTTAAGTTCATGGATGACAACACTAGTTGCTCCAAAGTTATTTAGACTCTCCTCTCCTTATTGTAAGATTTATAGTTTTAAATTATTACTCTTTATTTATATTCGGTTATTGTATTTTTGTCCTGTCAATTATCACATGACCGAACCACCAATTAGAACACGACTTAAATGACCTTGACACTGTGCCAAACCAATGACGTGTTAACCATTATGAGCAGCCTGGAGTCAACTCTGATTCCTTATCGGTTCTTCTAACCTACCCCTGCCCATTGAGTCCAGAACACGATCTCAGCTTCTACTGTATGAACCGTATATTTCAAACATACTTGGTGTACATAAAAGCAAACAAGGTCAAGCCCCCAAATGCCCTGGTACGGCCGAGGGTGGAAAGAGTTTGCTTTCCCCCTCAAAATGCTCTCACATGACCATGCGTATACAGCCACTGAATGTAAAATCCTTTTCGCTGCGAGGCTGTTGCTTACAAAATTGAGAGGATGAAAAGCGAATGTCCTACTCCTTAACCGGGTTGGTGTAGTGGAGGATCCACCTAGGGGAGTTGGAAAACCCTGATTCCAAACCAATGGTGCACATGGGCTCCAGTACCGTGAGGGAACAAATGACACATGAACCTATTGTTGATCACCGACTACCATGAGACCGCATTTCCTTATGATGCTCTACTGTCTTGTGGATCAGACCTTTAGGTCCTATGAAAACCACCTGCTTTAGTCTGGGCACCCAGGCGGTGTCACAGCTCACAAACAAATGAAGTGTAATGACGTTAACTACTGAGAGTACTGTTCTCGCTCCAATTAAAATTCAAACAAGTCACATGCATTCGATAACTTTTATTTTTATATATACACCGCCACTTATCTACTCTCTTTGATTCTCACCTTGTGTATTCTTATTTTTCAACTTATACAGCAGCTCGCCTATAGAGGGAACCCTGTTCTGTTTAAAAGATCTCGAGTCACTGACTGTTCGAAAGTTGAATGATACCACCGGATACGAATACTGAAACAGTCTTTCTGAAACCACGTATACCATTCAAACTGGCTTCCTTCAACGTTCGTGCACTAATGCAGTTCGAACAACAGATAGGGTTGGCTATGTTTTTAGAAAGTCTTAATATCGACGTCTGTTGTCTATTCGAGACCCGTATTCAAGACTCTAGTGAAGTATTACAAATTCTCTCTCCATCTGTCGCTTCGAATAGCTTGTTTTACGTGCGTTTATCCGGGGACCCTGTGGCATCTTAATCTGGTTTTGCTGGCGTTGGTGTCCACTGAGCACTAGAGCTGAGGCAGCACTAATCGATTGAATTCCCATTAACAGTCGGTTATGTGCTGTTAGATTAGAAAGTTCCATCAAAGTGAGAAGAAATCGGCGTGAGAAACGGTGTCTTTTCGTTATCTCCGCCTATGCCCCGACAGATTGCAGCCCAGATGCAATCATGGATGAGTTTTACCACCAGTTAACTGTTCTTCTCCAGAAAGTGAGCTCGACAGATATTGTAGTACTAGCCGGAGACTTGAATACACAGGTCGGGCGTCTAGGCACAGAAGAGAGTCGTTTAGGTGGCAGCTGTGGACTTGTTGGTCGCACGTCAGATAACGGGGACCGTCTACTGTAATTGTGCACAGACCATAACCTGTTTCTATTTTTATTATTTTTATTTGAACACATAAATATTGGTACAAGGGGGCATTAGATATATATGCGCCCCACTGGCTAGCACTAACTTCCGACACAGTCATCGCCAATGTACCACCTGGTGTCTTCCCTCTACATCTCAAGCCTGGACTCAGATTGATCACATCGCGATAAGCTACCGCTGGCGTGATTGTGTACAAGACTGCCGCTCCTTTTGGAGTACCTATCTGGACTCTGATCATGCTTTTGTTTGCGCCAATCTTACCTTACTTTTCAATGGCCAACGAATTGATCGTCCTAGACGGATTGATGTCAGTAAATTTATTGCAGCTTCTGTTGCAACTAATTATCAAACCGAGCTTGGTTCAAGGCTAACTAACTAATTCAAGTATGCAACTTAATAAGAAAGTCATTTATTGAACTAGAAAAATGTTTTCCAGTCATTGGATTCTGTAAATGAATTTCCTTAAATAATAAAAATTCAAATTATCAGTAAAATTTAATTCTGTTTTATGGGCCCCAATCAATAAATTTTTATACTGTAAAGTGTAAACCAAGTGACTCACTTCCCAGCAAATTAATAACAAGTAGTATAGTAAAAACATGAAAATAAATTTGCGAAAATTTAAATTTCTCATCAATAATCACACTATTTACATTTCAAAATGAAGGATGACTCAGTGGTTAAAGTGTTTTCTTTTCAACTAGTAGGCGGCAAGTTCAGATCCTTCTCTATTCACTCTGGCCTAGGCTACTGGGTAATATCACTAAGCCTCACACTAACGATGTAGTTCCATGCCAAGTACATAAATATATACCTAGTAAATGAGTTAATAATTATATCTGCAGTATATTCTAACCTTTCCCTACCATTCTTATCTGTTAGCGGGATATATCATGGATTAAAGAATTTGGAGAAGACTCTAGAATCTTCTTGTGTAAAATTTATAAAAATACTAACGTATTTCCTGTTGTATTTCCTTTGTTCATTTGAAATATAATTACGTTCCTATTCAAACGTATTCTGATTTGAGGGAATTGTCAAGTGAAATAAAGTGTCCAAAGAATACTAAGCATTAGGAGCAGCTGGGTTGTTATAACAGAGATCGTAACATCATCTTATATAGATTTTGTATCAATCTGTGCTTTTCCAAGTCAGTATTCATAAAATTTATGTCTCAATACTTTTTGTAGCGAAAATATTCAGTGGAACCAAATCTTGTCGTCTTGGAATGGTTCATGTGCGCTTATACACGAACTTTACCTTGGACAGCTGTATTAAGAATATGGGATTTGTTTTTCTGTGATGGTATGTTAAATATTGTATATTTTTTAATATGTTTCCATATCTTTAGTCCATATATATATGAGAATAATGGTTTCTTTATTCATTATAGAACTTAACATTTGATTTGCTGTGAAATGGATATGAATTAATCTTATTTATAAGCGGTTAACAATTTTAATACAGACTCTACTAGATTATTCAAATGGTATATTTAAAATCACGAAATATTTTTAAAAGCTTTTACATTTAATATGACATACATATAGAATGGTTATGTAACTCATCTATCAAATATGAGCTTTGAGCCACACTGATAAAACCATATTGTAGAGACTACCTTCAGGCAACTATTTAAATTCGAGATCGCTCTTACAAAACGTTTAGGGAAAATTAAAGGCTCAGTTAAGGATAGTATGTTAAAAAAAACTTGGTTATGATTAGTTTCTAAAAGGTTTAAGCTTTTTGTGAATATTTTTTGTGCAACCACACAGTGAATTTAACATTATATGTAAATTAAATTACTAGAAATAAGTGCTCCATATGCAGATTGTGTTTGAGAATGCATGATGTCATTCAGGGGTAGTTTTGTGATTATAAGGAACTTCTTGACTGTAACCGGCCTCCTAATCCTTAATCCTTATATTTTTCCATTTATTGATCACCTCGGTACTATTAGTCTACCATAATTGTAATGTTTCTTTAACCACAAATTGCTTTGTCACCAAACCCTGTTTTCTGATTGGCTAATCAACCGCTTAGGATTGTCATTATATTATTTTATGTTTGTTTCTGGACTAGTGAGTGTAAGTCTATTTATTTGCTAGGAAGTAAAGTTAGTCGGTCGGGTTTCAAATACACTGCTCTACAAAGTATTTTACAGATAAAGATAAATAAAAACTAAAAACTGTAAAATGATTATTGCTTGTATAATTACTTAAAGGATACTAATGTGTATTCCTTGTGAAACCATCAACTGTTTGTAAAATCACTTAAGTTGTTCGCAATTGACTTTAACGACAATTTTTTCAAAAATGTACACTGAATGATTCAATGGCAACACAAAATATGAGTCTCAGCAGGATTCGAACGCCAGTTCTGTGGGTTATTGCTCCTAGTTTACCAATCAATTTTTTAATTGACTATTTTAAATGAAAAACTATTAGTGTTGACATTTTTGTATTTATGTAAAATATGATTTGGTCAATAATTTGCCAAAAACTATCAACTATACTTTATTGTTATGATTATCATTATTGTTTGTAAGCGTTTTCTCGTTTTTGATATTCTAAACTAGTTTTGAACAGTTTTTGTTAGTGTATAGACTCCTTAAAGGTGATCAATATTTTCTTCATTTAAAGATTAATTATAATTCGTGTAGTGACTAGCATCCATTACTCGGATTTCGTCCCATACAAACTATGCTTAATCTATAAATATCGACAGTATTTTAGTGCATTCCATCAAAATTTGTCTATATTTTAACAGAAAATGATCAAACTTATTCTTCTCTATCATCAACAGCAACCTTTGCAGTTGTAATTAAACTCATGGTTGTTGAAATGGTTATGGAATATTTTAATTCCTTTAGACTATTGAATAATGATACCTTTTCATCCAATTTGAATTGTTCTCTGATAACAATAGATCACATTTTATGGTTATAAAGCATTTCTTCTACATAATCTATTTGTTGTTATGTTGTAGTAAATAAAAAAGAAATAAAGAAATATTGTTTTTCTTAAACTAACCAGTTTTGGGACAATAATAATTTCTGTTATTCAGTTGTGTACAACACGTATACTGCAATAAATACAAAATTAGAAAATTATCGACTACTACTACAACTACAACCATTACTTGTACTTGATTTGTTGTGCAATCTGAATGTCCAGTTTTAGCTTTATTTTTCTGGTAACTACGTCAATATCATCATATAGAAACAGTTTCAAACATCTGTCATTTACACATCATGAATACACCTTGTTGAGGAATAGCTCCTCAAATAACAAATGAAACAGCTGTTTAATGCTTCTTAATTTTTCATAATTCTTTAACAACTGTCATATTGTGACAGAATTCACTGTCAGGGTAGAGAGAAAAAATCTGTATAAGACTATTTCACTTTGCGGTGAGAATAAATATGCCTCAGAACTGGAAAGTATCATTTTCATAGTTCTCAACCCGGCTGTTTTTTTTAAAAAAAAAAAGAATATTTGACAATATACTCATTGTTTTTTGTTGTCCTGATTTAATGTCTTTTAATATTTAAAATTATTCTAAATTTATATATATATATATATATATATATATATATATATATATATATATATATATTCATAACTCAATAATTTAAATTATTACCATGGCATTTCGACTAAACAAGATGTCTGAAAAGGTTCAGGAATGTGATTAAGCTTTCATATTCAACTTCATTATAAACTAGTTTAACCATGCGTGTACCCTTGTTTGCAGCGCTTTTAGATTAGGATCATAATGAACGTGTATAGATGAACAGAATATTATCTACTCTTCAACTAATACACTCGAAAAAATTGAGTGATACTTTCTTTGTCGATAAGTTCTTAAGGTATAAATAAGTCATATTCGACATTATTTAAAATACACTATGATAAATTTCAACTAATGTTACATTTTTAAAAAAAAACATGTAGATGGTTTTCCTTGACTTTGTACGTTTTCAGAACTATGCAATCTGAAAACAAATTAAAATTAAACATATCATTCTCAGATCTCGCAGTCAGTGCTTCAATTTTTCGCCATCTTGTCAAAACTCAGTCAGTATTTCTTTTGTGGGGAAAATAGTATTTCGCTTCATTAAGCTCTTGCTAATAATACAATATAAATATTGTTGTGTTATGATAAATTATCTCATTTTGTGAAACTGGTGTAGTAGTAGTAGTGTAGGGTAGTGTGAGCTGCTGATATTGATAGATATGTGGTATGTATCATCAATCGAAATTAAAATACCTGGCAGTAGAAGGTTAAGAAGATCGAAGAAAAGAGAACGAGAACAGAGAATGATTGGTGTGGAAATGATGGAACAGTGAATTATGAGACGATTGATCGGCATTTGCAAAAGGAACAGTCAAGTTGAGACAATTGATTGATATTTTGAAAATTAAGCATTTACTGTATGGTTCTCAGATTTGACTAAGATGTCCTGTTATTTTGTGTCCAAACACATTCGATTGTCCCCACTTGTGTTCTCGTTCACTATATTAGTAGTAGTAGTAGTATGCCACTTACGGCCAGATATTAACATAGCACATTCATCTAACCTACACCTTAGCAGATTCTGACTTATTTAAACACCAAGGGGAAATTATGCCCAATAGTTGGAACTAACGTATTTCAACTTTCTTTTTAATGTATCAATGGGATAATTCACTGGTGATGTGTTTTTGTCAGATATCATCATCTGACTAAAACCTAACATTATAGGAGTTATTTTAGCGTGAATCATATTGTCGTTAGATAACTATGGTAGCATGTAAAATATGAACAATAATTCATAATTGTTGTAGTTTTATTCTCATGTCTTTCAGCAGTTTTCTTTCTTTATCTCATCATCAACTGTCGTGTTTCAGTGATGACTCACCTTGCTTAACATATCATAGTGCAAGTTTTCTGTGCTGATGCTACAGCCACACTTATCGTTGTAAAGACAAAATGATACATTTAATGTGCACAAAGGTACTCCGTCCAACTTATCACTCTGTCTATCTTTTCTAGAAAAATATATTAGTATTATTCTACTGTATATTCACACCCATACAAAAACATCCAATTTTTATTATTTCTTCTGTTTTACATAAGTGGATGATTCATCTTTAAAACACTGATCGATGTTATATTATGCTCTTTGTTCTACTTTGTATGTTGAAAAGTCACTAACAAATCGTTATTTGTATTTTGTAAAGTAAATAAACATTTTCGTGTAAAATTTAATCAGGTCTGGGAGATATCAACTTACTAAAGACATCGGTGAATGGTTGCTCAACTTCGTGGATTGGTTGAAATCAGACATTATCACCGTTGCATACCGGCTCAGTGGTCTGGTGGTTAAGCGCTCGCGCGCGAGACTGATAGGTCCTGGGTCCGAATCTCTCGTGGCGGGATCATGGATGCGCACTTCTGAGAAGTCCCACAATAGGACGAAGCGGCCGTCCAGTGCTTCCAGGTTTCCCATGGTGGTGTAGCTTCAATTGACTCATGAATTCAACTATATAAAATTACTAAGATCTCCACAAAACCCCTTTCTGATAAAATTTAAACGTTAAATAATCATCTCAACTGTAGAAAAATTATTTAGCTACTTATGACTTAGAACACAAATGTTCTGATGAAAATATCCTACATACTGAGATAATTGCTGACAAACCTTTCTAGATTCCAGATTAAGTGTTTCATTGTTTTGCTCATTCTAATATTATTGGTTATCAGACGAATTTTAGTTTGGGATATAAAGTTTCTTACTGGAAGTAATCACCAGCATACTGCTGAAATATTTGTCATTAATGTTAATGGGAGTAACATATTCGCTTATTAATTTGTTTGAAATTATCATGTCCAACATTGGCATTGATATCTATAAACATTTGCTTATTGATTTGAATAGATTTAGACACGTGATCATTAACTGATAAATAAAATCTAGAAACTGATATTAATACACAAATTGTTTGACAGTACTGAAGATGAAATCAACAGAAAAACACTATAGAAAAAATAAAAGAACAAATTGAATGTCCCATTTTTATTAGAGAACAATTTAGAGAGTTTAGAACAACTGCAGCCAATTTTAGCCCGTTGTTGTTAGCCAATCAGAAGACAGCTATTGTAAGTAGAGATTATGGAGAAAAAAGATAATACAATAAAGGGTGAACAAATTATACATAATTTATGAATGTATTAAATTCTTCTACCAGTTTTTCCATTTGTGAATCGAGAAGTCACCAGATAAATTCGTGCGTATGAAAACAAAACGTCCGCCTTCTTGAAGCCTTAAAAGGATTTTTGGGAGTTCCTCCATTGTTTCGAGTACAATTTATTTGAATGTTATGTAAAATCTAAATAGAAAGACTCAGGCATTTGATACGATAAAAACTGTCTGTTTTTACTCTGTTATGGTAAAAAGTATGATTTTAAACGTTCTGATCAGCATACAAAGGGATTTCCGGTACTCGTTCTACGTCAGATGAAATAAAAGTCAGTCATTTTTGAATTTCATGCAAAAACTCAAAAGTTATTTTATTGATCCTTATTTGCTAGTCTGCACACGATAATTTTACCTAGAAAAATTAGAAAGGAATACGTTTATCCCTACATAAATGTTGTTTTTGACTTGCTCTATCCTAACAGACTCCTCTCTTGATTATCGTGCGTTCGTTTATGCATACACACATGCATGTATGATAATTTTATTTGTATTAAGTAAATATGAAGAACTGATTTGTCTTTCACTTCCATTATATAATAATTCGTTAGTGGGTTTTATTTCAATTGATGTGTTCATTCTCATCTTAAGTAGTCATTGTATTGATAATCTTCATCTAAGTATTGCATTATCTATTTTTTGTTCTTTCTTAATATAACCCTTTACAGTTTGAAGGTGTTTAAGATATATTCGGCATTTTAATTCAATATTCTAAACTTAGAACACCAACTAATTCAATGATAACTTTGTTATATATACCCAAATTAAACTGTATTCTGTGATGCAATATTCTCGTTTTGTCTTTTTTTTCAACTCCTTTACTAGCTACAAATTTGTGTATTTAGTTTTTAGCCACACTCCACGCACAATAGCTAAGTGATACTATTCGATACCCCAAACAGAAGTAGGGTTGGGTGGGAGTTCGAACCTGTGGTTTAGTATACGGAAAATTTACATTCGATAATTTTGATTATGTTTCCCTGGAAAATCTTGGACCAGATTGCCAAGCGAAACGTTGGACTTACTTCAAATTCATTCGCTGAGATTTTACAAATATATTCCTCTTGAATGTCTGAGGTTTAGTGGTTAAAGGCTGGACTCTCTAACTCACTGAACCACTGTCCCAATATTTAGATATTTATAACTGTACAGAGCCTAAAGAAGAAGTTATTGAAAACAATTGTTCACTCGAAAACTCTTTATTTTGCAAAAATATATGAGCGACTTTCAAAATAATTACTTATAATCTTACAATCCATGAGCTCCATATGCATGCTTAACTAGTTATATTTTCACATTTTCTGCAACATCATTGTTGCGTGTGTATTGACTGCCATTCAACAATGTAAATCGAAATGATTTACAAATAAATTGATAAACAACTCTGAAGAAGAAGAAGGATGACGATGTACTGATGAATTCTTATTATCCACTTTTTCAGTACATCTAGTCCTTTCTTTTTTAGGCTTAAAATAGGTTGTTAAAACACTATAAAATTTACTGATTAATTATTATTGTTTCCTATTTCAAAAAATCATCTTATTAGGTAAAATCATATTATTTAAAGTGGCTATTGTTTTATTGAATCGTTTATTTGGACATCCTTCTCACCGTAAATCATGTCAAGGACTTGACGATATTCTCATGAGATTACGTGAAGTATCATCTGTTGTTGGAAAATTGGATAATTTTATCCGTGAAGTAAGTTAAATATGAATAATATTTGTATAGCAGGCAGTCATTTTATTTGACAATTGAAGTGAAATTAATGTCTTATTGATTAGTTAGTTGTCCATTTTGGAGAGCAGTGATTGCGTGTAACTTTGTAGGCTTCCGGTTAATATTCTTCCTATCTCTGTCTCTATCCCACATCATATTCTAAAGCACATTCTGTTGTTGCAAGGATAAATAAATATTGTTATTTTTAATTTAATGTGGTGTAAAAAGTCATACTACTGTCTGCGTTCACCTTTAATGTAGCAGTCGAATTGATCAACTTATTAACATTAAATATTTCATCCTAGTGAATCAACTAATGACTGTACATCAAGCTTTTGTTTCATTATTCAGTTAAACAAAACAGATGAAATATAGTTATCAATAAAATAAGTGCATATTATTGTTATTGTATCGTTGTTTAGAATGGACCAGTCTATTTTCGTTGTCGACGCCACAATTTAAAATATTTGATGTGATAGATAAATACTACGTTCTTTTCATTTAGTCCACATTTTCAATTATATATCAGCTAGCGTATCTTATTTTGGAACGTTACACGTGACTTCAGTTTTGCTGGTTCGTTATTTTAATTGCATTAACACCGATCATTATATTTATGTATATACTCTAACGACGAGTTGAAATTATCTTATTTCCACTGATATTTTTCAAAACAATTGAATTCAATTATTGCTAGATATCACATTGATTATAATTGTCTGTTATGTCCTAAAAACTACTAATACGCGTCGTTGACCTTAAGTAACCAACACACAGCAAATGAGAGAGAGACCAATACTCTATGTCTGACGGTCGGCCCAATACTAACTACCCCCAAACGAAGAGGAATAATACAAGACCAACCATCACTAGTTCAAAATCGTCTTCATATTTCAGACATTCATTTATATAAATGCAAGACTAGACCACATAGCAGACCATTTGAGTAACAGTATTAACACGGAAAAACCACATAACTGATTAGAAAAACGGGGTACTGGGTACACAAATAATCGATTCTAGTTTATAAATGTAAAATGATGTAGTGTTGTGGACTCATGACTACAGAAGAGATCAAACTGAAGACTTTCAGGTCTCCCAACAAGGATGTATTGTAATTAAATGAGAAAATACACTTTGTCTAATCTAGTTTTGGCTCACAAAAAGCGAATGACTCTTCTACTTTTAAAATAATATTGTGTTAGCGTTCAATACTAGAACTAGTAAACATTCCAAATCATTCGAACTTATTGGTTCATTCACTTTTTCCGAACTAGACATTATAGTTCATATAGGTTCTAAAGCAATATTTCTACATTTGAAAGTTGAAGAAATATTCTCAGATGATCAATTTATTGCATTCAGAAGATCATTATATTTTACTAGCATCTTCACTTAACTGAACGATATTCACTAATGATTAGTTATCTTTTGTCTTCAGATAGTGTTGCATTTCAGTTTTCTTTTGTCGTCTAGTTTATTATTTTGAGTAGTTTCAGTGGAGTTACATTTTACAATGTACAACCATTGATCATTCTAAAATGTATAGATAGGTATTTAATTTGAACATCTCGAGTCATCAGTAAACACAGGCTTAACCTTTTTTCAACGATTATCTGTAGTTGTTGGAATAGTTCAACTTAATAATTCTTTTTCTTCAGAATTCAACTTTCCAGTCAACTCTACTCTCCCACTAATTAAAATCTTTCTTTTTTTATAAAGGTTGTTCGAGTCCCTATAACTGCGAAAGAATTAAGTCAACAAATTGTTCGACAATCTCAAAAATGGGCAGCTAATCATCAAAAACAATCTTAGGCATTTAAGTTCATCAGTTGATTTAAAAAATTACCCAATACATCAAATGAAGAAATAACTAAAAAACACTTGACCCTTTACCCGTTTACTCAGATCAAATCAGCATGTAAAAAGAAAGGAATCAACGCCATATATTTCCTCTTCGAACACTGAATTACTGTTATTTTCATTTGTTCTTCTACAAAAAGGGAATGTGTTATCAATTTTCCTCCTTTTGTTAAAAATAAATAATAACTGCGACTTCCATACAATATCTGGTGCAATGTACTGTGTTTACTCCGCCCAAACTACTTTCACTGGATGAAATTGTCTACATCATGATAAACACCCAATCATATCACAAGTGAAATGGCTTTTTTTTCTGAATAAACGGATAGACTCCTTCCGTGTATTTACTACATCATTTTTCATTTAAAATGTCTTTTTACGCATATTATTGTTGCTGTTATTATTATTATTCTGTTTCGTTTTTTTCTTTTATCTGAACTACCTATTTACTTTACACATGGTTATTGTTTTTCTATGAACGTTAAATTGCCACTCTCTCACAAATACGCATAAGCGTGGAGGGTCATCTCTAGACACATGAGATGTAAGATTGTTTTATAAATACATACATATAGCTTCATTGTTCCAGCTTTTGCGTATCATCAAATTTAATCAACCTACTCCAACCCTAGCCTTTGATCAAATGCACTATTTTGTGCTCACGTACGTGTATCGCTATCGTATGACTGAAATAATTATCTTTATTGTGCATTTATTTCTCGTAAATACTACAATTCGAATTTATACATGTCACCTTCTTACTAATGATAATTATTACTCTTACAAAAAGCTTTTGATTATTTGCTATTATAAAGATTCAATGAAACAACTGTGTACATAAAAGTTTTATTTTTAAAATCCTTTACTTCCTATTTGTTAAGTTATCTTAATTTTTTGTGTATCATAAATAATGTGATGCAAGTTTTGCTTGCGTGTTGCTTTTTCTCTAATTATCCCGGCTTATATATATATGTGACTTGCAAGATTCTTTGTAAGAATGTTTATTATCAGACTTAACGAAATCTGTCAAAATGAAGTTCACTAGTATAGTAGATTGTTTGTTTTATATTAATGAAAGCAAATCTAATCCGGCCAAAGAAGCTAAAGTTATCCAATATAACTTATCAGAGAAGGAGTTTTCTATTTTGTACAGTTAACACTGAGATCTAGCTCACAGCATATTTTGTTTGATGAAAAATATGTAAACACTTGAAGGTGAATTTTATCATCTTAAAAAAGATTACCACTCCTTAAGATGTTAGTAATTCAAATTGATATGGAAATATTCAAGATGAAATTCAGCAGAGAACAAATATTTCTTTTATTCAACATTGTATCGATTCACAGGCAGTGTTCTCGCTTTGATTTCTCGTCAACTGTTTGACAATAAAATTACCATTTACTGAAATGTTTCATCAAAACCTTTTCCTTAAGTTGAAGATGATTATCGTCAGAAACTGATATCAGCCAGAGATCATCAGGCAGTTATTTTAGACTCCTCAGAGATACTCATTCGTGACCCCACAGGAAAGCGAAATCGGAGTCTTTAGTGCTCTCAAGGATCATAATTCAATTATATCACTGAACTGAAATCCAATTGTTTACGCTAGGCAAATCGACAGCAAAACAAAATCTCTCGAGTATGTCTTTCCTCCATGGATTTTTTAGAGAAATAAAAGGACAAAACCTCCATAAAAGATTATCAAATACTTGGGATTTGTTGTTACTAAAAATTATTTACGCATCAGCTTCAGGCAAATCCATGAGTTTTACGTGTAACAGCTGCATAATGAACACTTGATCAGTGACGAATCTAAATAGTTTGCAGGGGAACAATGACGAGAAAGAGTCCATTTTTCCACTTATAATCTGTTGAGAATATAATAATTTATATTTAAGAAATGAGTGTGTACCGACTTTGTTTAAATCTTACATATTGATCGGATAAATTTATATTTAAAATAACTAATTATTAGAGTAGATCTAAGCGTTTTCTGTTGTGTTGTTTACGAGCTGTACGAATATTCATGAATGGAATAAACATGTCATAATGTCGTTTGAAGGTTTTCATAAAATCGGTATTCTTCATTTAAATATACATCTGAATATTTTATGAAGTTTTAAAGGTTATTCAGAAGTTTTGCATATTAAAACGACAGTAATGACAACGGAAACACCACACCCATATTAACACATACTACAACGTAACTTTAAATGTAAAATTCTTTCTTCTCCAATTCAATGCTATTTAGTACCCAGGTACTCGGGTTCCAATCAAACGTTTTACACAAAGTCTAGGGACACCGCTTATAAGCAGAAGTAGGTTGACAATGAAGTCAGTATTTGATACCTAACAGTTACATTTTCAGTGGTCTAACTATTTTATATCTACCTATCTGATAACAGTTTCTTAATAAATTGAATTTTTTTTATAGCCCCGTTGAAGACTATCAACAGATAGCTTAGAATCTTTGTTCATTACTATCCGAAATGAGTATGAGATTAAAAATGATGGATAAAAATAACAGTAGATAAATATACACTAATTTATTGATTGTTTACACTATACATCCATAAACACCTTTTGAAAGAAATATAAATGAATGTTTTCGAAAATAAAATTACATTTCAATGAAGATTAAAAGTTGATATTATTAAAAATAAACTTAGAAATAAGTAAATAGATGTATATGATTTTACAAACTTTTTTTACAATGATTAACAGCATCATATGGAGCCGGTTGTATAGGATCTGGTAATAGGCGATTTGTAGTCTCATCCAAATCACAGTCTAATAATGATTCATTTTGTCTATTTGATTTACATAATGGACCTAATAATAAAATATGTGGATTCTCTAAATGACGTGAATCTAAATCATCTATGCATACATTCAATGGAATATTTGTTCGTATTTGTTTTATTTCATGATGAAAATATTCATGAAATCGTTTCATATCGGATTCAGCTGATTCTAATTTTGTATTTAAATCGTTTAAGCTACAAAAAGAAAGACAAAGAGAACAATATTTTAATTTTAACTAACTCTGTAGTGAACGAGAACACAGGCGGAGACAAGCAAACATATTTTGAACACAAATTGCAGAATATCTTAGTATAACCTGAGAACCATACACTAAATGCTTAATTTGCAAAATATCAATTATCACAGAATTGATTGTTCTTTTGTTTCCACACTAATCACTCTCTGTTCTCGTTCTCTTCGATTTTTTAACATTCTACTGCTAGGTATTTCACTTTCGATTAATGATGCATACTACTTACATCTGTCGGCATCAGTAGCACACATCATAATTTAACTAACTCATTTCTATGAGTTTATTTTTAATTCACTCACTTCTACTCTTTTCTCACCAACATTCTCCAATGCTATTTACCATTAAACATATTGATATTTTCAAGTATCTTCGATGTAATAATTTTTATCTTTCAGCACTATTTATTCAACTTAAATTGCCAATCGATATTACACGCACACACACAGATGGTTATGTAAATATGAATATCGAGCACAGAGCATATGTGCACATATTTGTATGACATCCTATCCATATTTAATGTAATAATTATTATTATTATCATTTATAAGTGGTCTTATTTATGTAATAGATTATTATTAATAATACCATAATTTTCTTGTGAATTAACTTCATAGATTCTTAATTAATCGTGAGTAGAAACATCTACCTTCAATTTTGTTTGGATCATTGAAATAAATATTGATACTATCACTTGCCAAACAAATAATAATTAGTATAATCTTATTTATGAGAAAATAATAAGTTATAATTGAATCAGATAAAAGGTGAATAATAACCTTATGGTAGTTTACTTTGAATATAACAACATTATTAATAGAAAAGGATGATTATTTCAACTAAAGAACTATTTGTAAATGCAAATTGAATTCATGTAATCTAATTGACTTTATGATGTTTACATAACACTGCTTACACATGTAAATTAGTAATATAAATACACACCTGACCTTAATGATTATTAAAACTATTTTAAAGCTTATTTTTAGTAGGCAACTAAAACTTTAAATCTACATCATGAAACATCAAAGTGGAAGCTTTTTTGTATAGTGTGGAATGAAATAATTACTTGGATTGAAAATGTATTAACTATTTTCGTATTTCATATAAAAAACCTTGATAACAATAGCTACACATACTGAGAACCTTTTTCGGCAACATTTATATTCTTTACAGTACAATTTGTTTGTATGCTTATTCACCATAGATCCTGTCAGTCAGTCAAACGCAACGTGGAACCGGGCATATGTTTACATCGGTTTAAGATGCCACACGCCATCAGGACAGCGAGATGAATTCAGTGTCACAATAATTAAGTAACCTTCATCGTTGTCGTACGTCAGTTTACTAATTGTAAAACATTATTGATGCGTTTGAGTGACATGGCTTAAAATCGATCACACTGATACAGTTGAATTCATTCTTTATCTTTCTTTGAAACTGATGATTAGTTTCTGCTAAGATTAGGCGAATAGGAGAGGCTAACAAACCTTGGAAAGTATTAATAAATAATATATTTGTAACATCCCAACGAGTAGAAAATCTAATTTTTCTACTCGTTGGGATATTACAAAAATACTATTTATTTATAACAATCTACCCGATGTTCAATTTATTCAAAACTTGGAAAGTATTGTTTGAAACGTCTATATTTTCGTTACTAAATGTGTGATTACTCACCCTTAGCTCAAGCAGATTTTATAGTTTCCGGACTGCCAGCTTTCATCCGACTCATTTACTATTATCATAAATTTTTCTGTTCTGAAATTGCTACGAAGTAATCATAAGGCCTATTATTCCAACTTCACGTTTTAAATATTTCAATACACAATGTAATTTCTTATTTGTGGTGCATTGTGGTCCATTTATTCATGCATTTAATCGTGAGGATTTTTGAGTCAAATAAACAGGGGTTAGATAGGTTGTTTTATTCTTTTATACCGATAACTTTGAGGAAGTGAAATTCTGCTGACCTATCCAGCATTTGGATAGCAGGACATTGAGTTGAAACATTGGTATAGACATCATTACCAAGTTTTTATTTGATAGTTTTGAATAAATTGAGCATTGGGTAGATTGTTATAAATAAATAATATATTGTAATATCCCAATGAGTAGAAAAATTAGATTTTCTGACGTTTCGTGACTCAGTGTAAGCCACTTCTTCAGAGAATAAATAACCAAATTAACAATAATCCAAGTTTAAATAGTACAACAGAACAATCCAAGAATATTAGGTGATCAATCAAAAACAGGTCTGAATAAATCAATGTCACGTCATTTCATTGTGGTCAAGGTGATTCATAAATGACATGTATGTAATTTTTGTTTGTATGTGTCCACTGTAAATGATGAGAAATGTGTGACCTTTGTAATGACAAAGGATAGAGTTAATTTGTAATGTAATGGTATGAAATTGTAGATAATATTAAACTGGTTGACTAGGATAGATAGTCCAAGTAGGATGTATGGTAAGGCCTTCCGTTCTATTGATGGCAGTGGGATTAAGCATTATATGGAAAGCTTCAGCTACTCTTCTTTCTTTGTGATTGGAAAAACCTTCCTGTAGTATTTTGATGTTTTTGAAATCAATTTGATGATTATTGAAAATGGCATGAACCGCTAATGCCGATTTAATTTGAAGTCTATCTAGTTCTACAGGATTATTAGGAGGTTTCTTTGTGTACCTAATATGTTCTTTGGCGCGAGTCATGATTTCGCGAGATGACTCTCCAATATAGAAGGCATCACAATCGACACAACCTAATTTGTAGACGCAGTTCTGTGTAGACATGAATGGTATCTTTTCTTTTCATTGAACTAAAGTATTTCGAAGAGTGTTCGTTGTTTTGTAATATACTTTAATTTTGTGTTGTTTTGAGATTCTTTGGAGTTCTTCAGTTGTGCTATGACGGTATGGTAAAACTGCCGTACCAATCCATGGTATTTCATTCGTATTGTTATTATTCCGTGCTGAATTGTCTTATTTTAATATACTTCTGATAATCTTCATAGGAAAATTATTAGATTGTAAGATGCTAATTATATTCTTTTGTTCTTTTAGTTTGTCCTCTTCTGAAGTGATGATTTTGTTGGCTCTTCTAAAAAGATTTAAGGCTAACGAGATTTTAGCACTGAACGGATGTGCTGAATGGAAGTCGATGTAACGATTAGAGTGTGTAGGCTTTCGGTAGATGGATACATTTAGAACTCCATTTATATTTCTTTTCACTAAACAATCTAAGAAAGGAAGCTCACCATGTTCATTTTCATTCTCATTCGTGAATTTGATATGAGATGAAAGTGTATTTATCTGTTTTGGAAATGATCTTAGATGCGTCTTTTTTATCACTACAAATGTGTCATCTACATATCTAAGCCAAATTCGTGATTAAATGTGGTGGGTGAAAATCTTTGATTCTATGTGTGTCATAAAAAGGTTGGCAACAATCGGGGACACAGGGGAACCCATAGCTACACCATTTGTTTGTCTGTATAGCGTTCCGTTGAAGGTGAATAGGGTTGAATTTAAGCAAAAGTTTTAACGATCTCATGATTAAACTAATGCTTAACGGACATTTGTCCGACAAAGTAGTGTCATTCTCTAGTAAGCCACTAATAAATTCTAAGCAGTTATCAATAGGAATACTAGTATATAAAGATACGATATCTTAGCTTACCACGACTTCATTCTTCTCGATAATTAATTCCGATAGTTTTGATTTAAAGTCATATGTATCTTTAATCATATTATGTATGTCGAACTGTAATGGCTTTAATATGCTGCTTAGATATTTAGATAAAGCATAAGTCGGTGTGTTGGTAAAGTCTACTATCGGTCTTAGAGGAATATCTGGTTTATGAATTTTCGGTAAACCATAAAACCGTGCAGTATTACATGATTTGGGATACAGAGCAAACCAAAGCGAAGCCCCAATGACTGGTTTTAGCTCTTTCAAAAGTTCACTTGTATCTGATTTGACTTTATTTTTAAGCGTTTGAGAATTTAATGGATTGATTCTTTCATATGGTCCCGTTGCAAGATGTTCAAGAGCTTTATTAATATAGTCTGTTCTATTCATGACTACTGTTGTGTTGCCTTTGTCTGCTTTTGTAATTATAATCGTTTTGTCCTTTTTAAGCGAATGCAGGGCGTTGTATTTTTCTTTTGAGATGTTTGGTGTCAGGTGTTTTTGTTTAGTCAAGATGTGGGACATCTTTTGACGTAATAAATGCGATTCTTTTTCTGGTAGTTGTGCGATTATTGGCTCTATAATTGGAGCAACTTCAAGAGTACTGAGGGGTTTTCTATGTAAATTGAAATTTAATCCTTTCTCCAGTAGGGTGACTTCATGATTCATGGCACAACTGAAGAACTCCAAAGAATCTCAAAACAACACAAAATTAAAGTATATTACAAAACAACGAACACTCTTCGAAATACTTTAGTTCAATGAAAAGAAAAGATACCATTCATGTCTACACAGAACTGCGTCTACAAATTAGGTTGTGTCGATTGTGATGCCTTCTATATTGGAGAGTCATCTCGCGAAATCATGACTCGCGCCAAAGAACATATTAGGTACACAAAGAAACCTCCTAATAATCCTGTAGAACTAGATAGACTTCAAATTAAATCGGCATTAGCGGTTCATGCCATTTTCAATAATCATCAAATTGATTTCAAAAACATCAAAATACTACAGGAAGGTTTTTCCAATCACAAAGAAAGAAGAGTAGCTGAAGCTTTCCATATAATGCTTAATCCCACTGCCATCAATAGAACGGAAGGCCTTACCATACATCCTACTTGGACTATCTATCCTAGTCAACCAGTTTAATATTATCTACAATTTCATACCATTACATTACAAATTAACTCTATCCTTTGTCATTACAAAGGTCACACATTTCTCATCATTTACAGTGGACACATACAAACAAAAATTACATACATGTCACTTATGAATCACCTTGACCACAATGAAATGACGTGACATTGATTTATTCAGACCTGTTTTTGATTGATCACCTAATATTCTTGGATTGTTCTGTTGTACTATTTAAACTTGGATTATTGTTAATTTGGTTATTTATTCTCTGAAGAAGTGGCTTACACTGAGTCACGAAACGTCAGAAAATCTAATTTTTCTACTCATTGGGATATTACAATATATTATTTATTTCTTGGTATAGACAATCACAAGTTCAAGGTGAACGTAACAGATACACAACCATATCAATTTTTTCTATTTTTCGATCTGATTTCTTTATTCGCAATTATTTCTTATACATAAATTTTCACTACAGTCGATATTATTTATCTCTAATTTACAAGTTAATATTCTCTCTCACTGTCTTGACTTGAGGTACAGTAACATAAATTAACACACTTTCGTCCCTGACCTTATAAGCGCTGCTCAATTCGGTCCGTATGCTCAATTGATGATAAATAATACGCTTGTTAACCTTTCAAAATTTATTAGGGTGTTTCTACATTGCAACCCTTCTTTCTAGTTGAAATAGTAGCTAAATATCAGAGACCCGAAACTGAATGTTCCATGTTCTGTGATCCCGTCCTACGTCGTTTGTAAATTATATATTTTATCATACTAGGAAGGTTTAAAAAAGATAGTCGATAACTAAGACAACGAAACACTTTGTGGAATCATTATCTACTTATTTAGAACTAAACTGCCCCTAATTTTGAAACACTCATTGACAATATAAACTGCATCTAATTCTTCTGAAAACTATTGAAGGTGATTCCGAATGTAACTAGAAGTCTTCCATTCAGCAAATTATATATTTAGAGTTTTACTGCTAACAAGTAGTAAAACTGTTTTCTCTTATTTTCTAAGTCTACAACTCTATGCAATGCAGATTAGAAATATGATGCACTTTTTTTATTACTGGGTTTACTTCAGATTCGATATTTTTATAATACAGACTACCAAACGTTTTTTTAAAAATATGTGGATACCATCATTTTGTCAAGAAAACAAAACCAAATCTCCTTAAAATAGAAAAGTTCTGTCTATATACTGTTAGTGTAAGGGCCAGTGTGACATCCGGCTGACCGAACCAGAGTTCATACGGAAGGGTTCGAATATGTGAATAACTGGTTGAATGGCAAGTGCTTTAAAAACTAGATCACCACACCCTTTATCATATGTTACGACTATTTACAAGGATAACTAACTTCAAATAACACTATAGAAATTATTACTTTTTATAACTATGCTAACAGGAATAGCAAAAGGCTGAATTACAGTAACAATTCTACAACATTTATTATGCATTAAAAATTTATTGTTTTAAAATAAGTATAAATATATACACAATTACCTATCTTCTAAATCTGCAAGACGAATTCCATTGTCCATTAATAATTTTTCGTTTTCTGATAATGGTTCACCAGGACGTCTAATTAATAATAAACCTTTTCGCATACATCGATTAAAATCTTCTTCGGATAAACTTAATGATTCATGAGTTAGATTCCTCAAGAAGTGAACAGCACAAGACTATAAAAAAAGAAAACAGGAGATAAGTAATTGACAAATAATGTTTTTTTGGTAAAATCATTCGGTGTTATTCTCTTTTTCTCCATTCTTTCATAATAAACAAACTAACGTATCTCTCTGGATTACTACGCTAAAAACAGTGGATGGAGTCATGCTTAGGCGGCCTGCTTGAATACCTGAGCTACCTGTTTCTGCCATCTAAATATTTCAACAAGTTATCTGGGTTTTTTAATTTTGTTTTAACTTATTATTATGTCTATTAATCGCATAACCTATACAGGCGCGTTTATGAAAAGCTTACGTCCTTTCGCTGCAAAAATCACAAACAAGTACAATAAGACATCATGGTGGTTGGCAATATGCATTAAAGAGAATGAACATCAATCAAATGTCGATTCCAGAGCTGCTTAATTCTAACTGTCGATCTCTAATTAACAAGATGGACTATCTCCAATTTCTGCTAAGTCAAAACATGTATCGTAATTGTGGTGTCATCACAATTCAAGAATCTTGGTTAACTGACTTACAGGATGATTGCATAGTATCATTAAGTGATTTTAATATCCATCGTCAGAATCGATCAAACAACAAAAAGACCTGTGGTGGCGGAGTAGCTACGTTTGTAAACGTTAACTGGTATCGATCTACTTTTGCCTGTTTCAAGTTTTCAAATGACTTTATTGACTGTCTAACTTTAAGGTGCCGTCCAAAACACCTGAATAAATACAAATATATTTATGTTACCAATATCTACATGACTCCAGACTGCACATCATCTGCGCTATCTGGCTTTGCTGATAAATTTACTGAATTCGCCGTTACTGCCTTCAGTGATTCACTTTCAATTTTATGTGGCGATTTCAATTCATGTGACTGTAGTTTCCTTACATCACTAGGTAACCTAAATGTAGTAGATTTTCCTACTCGTTTGAATGCTCATCTAGACTTGGTTTTCATTAATGATGTGGGTGTACCTATGTGACTCGCAAACGTGCTCCATTGTCTAGCTCGGATCACTGTATAATTCGTGTTCTACCTAAAGTATATGGTAAACATGGAAAGAGTACACACATACACCATACCAAAAAAGTAATATACAGGAATTACTCAGAAGAGAATTTACAAAATCTAAAGAACATGTTTCGTACGATCAACTGGGAATTATTTGCAGATGACTCAATAGAAAACACAACTGATGTTATCACCTGTTATCTGAAGTTCTGTTTTGATATTTGCTGTCCTGCCGAAGCCTTCTTTTTAAGTTTTGATCGACTTACATCTCCACAACTAAAACGACTACGGAGGATAAAAGAAAGGATGTACAAGGAGAAAAATATTACTGAAGTTCGTAAGTTAAATGGTCAAATAAACCAAGAGATTAGACGTCTCAACTCTGTGTTTACTCAAAAACTATCTTGTAAAAACTCTCCAAGTATGTGGAAACTCTTTAAAGAAATTACAGGGAACAGGAAGACTAGAAGCGATAACCAGCTGAATGTTTGTGACTTAAATAAGTCCTTTATACGTCAGCCATCTGACATCATGCTCCCTATATTCAAGGGTCTGAAGAATAATCGTATTTCCAGTTTCACTGAAAATGATGTCCGAAAATGTCTCCAGTCACTTAATTCATCCCAATGTTTAGGACCTGATGGTATCCCAAACCTCCTTTTTAAAAAATGTGCTGATGTTTTATGTTATCTATTAACGAATATATTTAACAGATCCTTCTCAACTAATGTCTTACCGAAAATGTGGAGAAAGATAGAGATAATCCCTATACCAAAGAAAGCTTCTGGTGATAAAAATGCGAAACTTAGACCCATTGAAATAACTTCACCTTTCCTTAAAATAATGGAAAAATTACTAATACAACCACTTCAACCTGTAATAAAAGAGCACTGTGATCCATATCAGTTTGCTTACAAATGCAAAAGAAGCACATTAGATGCCGTTGCTGTTCTGCATCATAATATAGTGTTCGGGTTGGAAAATGGTAAGAAGTATGTTAGATGCTCTTTCCTGGACTTTACTTCTGCTTTTGATTCTATTCCAAGACACCTCTTACTTAACAAGCTGATCAGCGTCGACACTGACAGCTGGATAACCAATTGGCTATGTTCCTACCTTTCTGGAAGAGAACAGTACACTGTATTTGAAGGAAAGTGTTCAACATCTCTACTGTCTAATGTAGGTGTGCCAAAAAGAAGCTGTTCTTTCACCTTTGCTCTTCTCTTTTTTTCTGCATGATCTGCCATCTTCCACAGAAAACACTTTTGTAAAATATGCGGACGACCTCACTGTATGTATGCCGATTTCTACCTCCTTACATCCCATAGAAATGAATAAGTTTTTATCTCGTATTGAAAGGTGGTCTGTTGGTAATGGTCTCTTACTCAATCCATCTAAATGTCAAGCTGTTAATTTTAGCTTGAGACATGGACAGAACCTACACTCTATTTTGGAATCCCATAATGCATGTGCCTTTGGAGACTCCTTAATAAACACAGTGTCGAAGGTCAAATATCTTGGTGTCATTTTTTCCTCTGATCTTTCTTGGTCTTCTCATGTTTTACTCTTATCGAAAAAAGTTTACCGTTTGACATACTACATAAAGAGGCTGAATGCTTTTGGGATTACTCGCCATTTACTCTTACAATTTGTAAATTTCTGCATACTACCTATTATTCTATATTGTTCTCCATTATTCTTTCCTGGGCTTTTGAGAAAAGACTGCTGTTTTGCGTAGAGTGCTGAAGGCGATTTGCAAGGTATGTGGTGAATCTTTTGAAGTCATTATTAATATGCTTGTGGATAGACATCTTAAGTCTTGCAAACTCTTGGCAGGTGTTATCTTATCAGATACTAACCATCCGCTTCATTCATATCTTTCTTCTTGTATATCTTCTGGTAGAACGAGACGTAAATACATTAAAGTCCATACACGCAAGCAAGTCTATAAAAGTTCTGTAATACCTTACTTAGCAAATTTACTTTGTGACGAACAGGCTGTTAGAGTTGACCTAGTAAATAACCTGTCTTCTTAAGCATGTTTCAAATTTGATAATTTGTATAAACTCAGTTTTTCTTAAACCTTTTTCATTCCTTTTCTGTTTCTTTTTGTTTTGTTTTTTTTTTGGTAAAAAACTTGTTGAAATAACTCGTGCTGAGAATTCTATATTGTACCAGATTATAATATTGAATAAAGCCATTAATAATAATAATAATAATAATAATAATAATAATTATTATTATTATTATTATTATTATTATTATTATGTACATAAAATTAAAACTATTGACTGAATAGCTTAAAATATCTTTAAGTGGAGCTTTTCATCATAAAAACTATCTATAATGTTTTTTGGATATTTCGCTTTTAACAATGTAACACTTCAGTAATAGTCAACATGAAAAATGTCATACAATATATTAAGAAATCAGTTGTAAGATCAAATATTGATTTGGGGTAGTTTTCATTCACCTGACTTCTAGTACGCTTTTCTTTCTACGAATTAATTTGATGTGATTTTCGTTTATTTAGCTGTTAGTACACTTTTATTGTATTAATTAATTCAGTATGACATGTTCATGTGACATTTGTTTAAATTTGAAAATGCCCTGACTAATAATCAATGAATGTAGCCGATATGTAATTGAATGAATTCAAATGTTAATTAATCTTATTTGATCTCTCTACTAATTGACTCTTCCTTACTAGATTTCTCCTACGAAGTAGGCAGGGATAAAAGAGGAGGCTATGGTATACTGCTATGAAATTTGCTGTTTGAGGAGATTACGAGATCACCTAAAATCGGCGAACGGAACGAAGGATCAGCAACACAACGACATGATAAGCTGAACTATTCCAATGCGTTCAGCCATGCTAACTGGAGGGAGAAGACCAGGTTCAGATGAAGGAAAGGTATATTCTAAGAGCACCAAGAAGCACGAACAACAAGCACACAACTCAAGCGTATATATACAGCATGAAAAAGTCCCTTGGAAACGTCACAAAATAGCATATTAAAAGAGGGGACGAATGAATGACGTTTAAGGTCCTTTCAAGTGGGAAATACAATCTGAAGGTAAAAATGGGTACCTTTGGCGCGTAAACGAGAAATTCGAATTTCCAAAATAAAATTACAAAAATAAGACGTTTACCGAGTGATTTTTGGGAATCCCCAACAGAATCGTTATTATTAGCGATGTCAGATTTACTGACTTACAATCATAAACAGTACATAATATTATCAATGATAAAATGTTTATGATATTGATACTCTGTAGGATGTTTACTAAATTATTTTCAGTTGCAATGAAATAGTAACAATGATGGACAATTTAAGTTGGACATACCGTTTTATATAACAATCCAAAGGGAATTATTTGTTCTTTTAATTGTAAAACAACTGTTCATCATTACTGAATCAATAGTACTCTAAAGAGACTAGATCCAATGTCTTATCGTCAGCTATTAAACCAAAATATAAATGGCTAATGGAAGAGTACGCGTATACACTTTTTGTATGCAGTTAGGTTTTCCCTTGAACAACAGACATCTAAAGAGATAATGCCTCCACACAACAGGAAGGCATTACAAAATACCGGCCTTAAAAATGAAACACCATACTTTGCCCCGCAGATTTCCATCTTCAAGCGGTAAGGCCTTAAAAGTGTGACGCCAACTTACCTAAAACTAATCACAAAAAGGCTATGACTGCGCTCAAACAACTGTCACTTAACTATTGCAGTCACGCCTCTAGATCATCAAGACCACCTTCTAACCTATTTTCATTTTCAGTTACCTCAAGAATAAGTATCCTTGCACGGTGTGGGGGACCAGGAAGTAAGAAACCGTCTTTCCATCTCTAACGGCACTCGGGATCATTTCATTTGTAATCAAACCTCATCTTCATTACCTAATATTTATTTTTCTGTGGTTACTGAGGTGAATTTAATCTTTAGTAGTTACCGCGAAGTAAAGTCGGTAAAAGGTTTATAAGATAAGAAAAATCTGTATCACATTCACTCAACAATTAATAACAGTTAATAATAGTAAAACTTTGTCAGGAACCAATTAGTTTCGTGGTTTAAATTATTAGAATATCAAAAGAGCAATTTAGAGATCACTGGTTTGATTATATGTAAATGCAATATAGATGTTCTCAGAACTTTACTATTCATCTTTACACTTTATTACGCACATGCTCATTAAAGTCATGTTAGTAATTATAAAAGTTATATTAAACTTGCTTCATACTATACATAGAAGAAATATGAATCGAAAAAACGTTGTATGAATAAAATACAGTGAAATACTTACTAAATTCGTAAAGAAATAACCAGCTTCACCACTATTCAGTCTATTTTGATTAGCAAATCTCATAATAAATTGTAAATTAGAATAGATTAATGGTGGATTTGAATTAAGTACAATCCAAATTAGTGTCGGTAAAAAATCGTCAGCATTAGCGGTATTCCCTTGTTCAAATACAATATTATTAGTTGTATTCACAGAATTATTCATTACATTATTTTGTACATGAGTTGAATTATTATTTTCATTTTGACTAGACACATAATCAGATGTGGAGCTTTTATTATTATTATCACTATTATCATTATTATTACATAAATATTGTTGTGTTATAGCAGCATAATTTCGATAGTGAACTCTTAATGCATCGAATACACTACGACAACATTGGACTATTTGATTTAATTTATCTTCAGATGCAAGTAATGTATTCACTTTGATAAGAGCTAAATTAAAACAAATGAAATGAAATAAAAATATAATAACTAAAACTTAATCAAGAAATGGTATCAATCTGTGAAGTCAGTGAGTGTTGGAATGAGTCATTTTGAAGGTGTAAAATACTTAGATTTACATGATCATTGTGAACGATGGATACGTTGAGTGATATGACTCAAAATTGGTTGCAGTGACGCAGATACATTCACATTTTGTCTCCTCTTAGATCTTGTGTTTTAGGATTATTTCACGCCTTTTATTTCGCAAATTCAACCTTCTCTATGCCTAATCTTTTTTACTATCGTTAATGTTATTATTAGTGTTTCTACTAATGTGGTATTTTTCTTGATAATCCCATATCATTTTGTTGATATGGTGTGATAGCTTGACCCGATGTATTTATTTGCCAGATTGTACGTTGCTTATAATTGACTGAAAATTAACTTGTAAACAGGTCTCTTAATAAGCAAATATTTCCAGAAAGTAACTACATAGATATTGGTTAACGTGATAAGAATTGGATATTAAAGTACCTAGAGAAATGAAACAGTAAATAATATCGTACGGACAGTTCCATCAACCATAAAGTTACTACCTTCAATCTTGTAACCACTCTTCCTATGTTAATTAACTTTTTTAGACCATTTACATTACTCAATCTGAAGCCAGTATTAGATATGCCTAGAATTGGGGCTATCCATACTGTGAATGATATACTGTACTTCCTTTTCTGTGTAAAAATACATTTTAACTTAGACTGCTGGTAAATTATTTACTGATTTATGAAGATATTCAGAAGAATATTAGTTAATTCAGCAAAGTAGAACAGATCGAACTATTCTTTTAAATAAGTAATCTGATCGACACTATCTAATTATCAAAATGGATAAGTCAAGATTGAAAACAACATCCATACGTTTGCCAACCGCAATTCAGGGAAAGCTAGATTCCTAATGTATGTAGTCAGATCAATTTTTAAGAAGTCATTAAGTTATTGCGCAATTAACACACTTCTATGTACGTATGGGTGCGTGTGTGGGCGATCGGTTCACTAGTCTAATCACCCACAATTAAAAACTGATGTTCAAATTACGAAACTACGTAAGGCATATACACCAAATAAATTGTTGAAGTACAACTAAATATGATTATTTCAGTTAGGCAGTAGATAGTGGTATTAAATACAGAAGCTTAAATGTTGGATTCCAGTTTATATGAAATAATCTAGAACAAAAGTCTTAAATAATTATTCCATTAAAGATCATTTGTGTTAAACACTTGAGTCCTACTGATACTCAATAACGACCAGTTATCTCTTGAATTAACTTGTTAAATACTTATTAAAAGCCCAATGTTAATAAATATTGGCTTGAAGACATTATATTGTTTAAAAAAACGTGTAAAAAAGCGAGAAAATACAACATAAAACAGGTTGTAATTGAAGGGATCAGCATAATAAATCTACAAGATACTACTTTATTTATTACTATTATCGTCGATCAAAAAGATATGATTCATTATAACATTGGTCCCGTGTGTTAATATAATTCAACTAGATATATTGAATTATTTGTTATATAGTTGAGATGTATCAAATGTCAAACAAACTATTTGATGTCATATAAAAAGCGTTATAAACGAGAAATAAGTGGTTCATAAAAAAGTGCAATTTCAAATCATTAATATCTAATTCAACTGTAAGTGTATATGTCATCTATAGGCTTTCATAAAGATCACTAGGATTATCATTTCTCTATTTTTACTGAGGTCTATTTAAGTGAATAAATTATCATTACTCTATCCTAAAATTTCAAAATTTAATGCATTCTATTCTAGATATGATGATTGAATCTAATAATAAGTTCGGAAAGTAACTGTTCACCATTTAATTATGGAGTTGGTTACATAGATAGTACATGTATATTTAGTGCTAGTCTTGTGAACGAGAACTCAGGTGTGGATTACCAATTTATTGTTTGATTCTAAATTACAAAGTGCCTTCTTAAAATATGAAAACCACACACTAAATACATTCTTTGCATATTTTATTTGGGCTTACTCGTAGGTGCCTCATGACTCATCCAATCCTGTTGTTATTACAATTGCCCTTTATTTCTCTTCAATCCAATCTTCTGTTGGCAGGCATTCTACTTCTGATTGTTACTATATCTTACTTATATCTATCAGCATACGTAGTATACACCACACTAGGTTCCTTCGTAAATTGAAATCACACAAAAAAATTTCGTGGAAAACAAATATCTTATACAAGTTTTCTTTTCATAGGACGAAGCTAATAGTCCTCATATTAAGTGAAAAGCAGGGTTTTTTCCTACTGATTGGATGAGAACCATTACCGAGTTATTTATCTCCATAAAAAATGTGAGATGTAAACTGCTTACATTTTTCCACTTCAAAATGATTATTTATTTACACTATTAATAAACATTTCCTGGATGTCCACAGTGAATATCACCTTACCCAATTCCTATTTAAATCTTCGTAGGAAATATTCCGTTTTTTATTTGTGTCAGTTTACCGGACACTTTACTGCAAATATAACGATTTAGAAACTAACTGTAAATAATATTCATTTTTACATTTCCATAATTTCTGGAGTGTCCCAAGAAAAAAACTGGGTGTAAAGGTTAAACTTATGACTTTATTAATAATCAACAACCATAAATCGTGCACATAAAATTTACGTATTCTTACCAAATGTTGCTAGATCTAAATGAGCAAGTTCCTCCGATGAATTAGGATTAATCGGTGAGTCAAGCAAGTAGGGAGTTACCCAATGCAATGATCGAATTTTTTCCTGTAATTTCAAATCTATATTTTCATCATCCGTTGTAGGCGAAGCAAAAGCCCAAAAATAAATCCAAGTTGTAACGAAACGCTCAACTGAGTTTAAAACGGATTCTTTGGTTTTTGGTGACAAATTCTGAAATTGATTAAAACTACTCTTTAATAAAATAAATCAATGGATAAAAATTTATTTCCGAATCATAGTATCAAGATCTTTCTCAAAACGTCCCTATACAAATTAGATGAATAACGAGGATCCTATGGTCAACGAAATATTGATTACTTTCAAAACTAAATAGTTTAACTGGAAAATGGCTGAAAATAAGATGTAGGGTGACTTTGTTACCCACGAAGGTCCTCTGATTGACGAGAATAGATATTTCACAGTTTGAAAATAGTAATCATAGTAATAATGATAAATCATTTCCACCCTTTTCCAGAACATGGCTTTACATCCCTAAATCATACAACAATATCGCGTTGACAATGAGTTTTATCTACCCAGTACTTAACGCGAAGCAGGTCTTTTTAATGAGACAATACATTCCTTAGCAAAATTTAACTGTGCTCAAAACAATGACATTCATTTGGGTGAAGTCGGGTTCTCTAACCACGATTAAATCACCCAGCTTGGAATAAAGATAAATAAAAGCATCCTACTGAGCTACAGATCTCATCTCAATATTCATTTGCAGGCAGCAACTACAACACAATAAATATTTGTTTACCATACGCATGATCATGTTTAAAATTTAGCTGAATGTGCAGACATTCTCAACGAATCCACAACCTGTAAGGAACGAATCCTGCCAACTGCGAGTAGGCTTCTTGGGTATCACAGTCTGGATTATATGACAGCAATTAGTATTTTAGACGTAACTGGTGGCAGAATTAGATGTGGGTTGTTTTTAAAGATGGGTATTATAATAAAAACAGTTTGGAATAATGGAATACTTTGTCTTTCATACCTGAAAACAATACAGAAACTCTCAGAGAACTTTTATCGTTAACATTAGTTGAATTAAACTATCTGAATCGGAAGTCATACAAAGTGGTTATTAATACGTCTGAGAATACTACATCAGAAATGAAGACTGACTCCATGGCTCCAGTTAGAAGAACCTCTATGGTGATAACACATTTTCCGAAAAGAAATCTTGAGAACTCTTCTTAGTAATAATAAAACTCTTGGTGGTATTTGCAGTGCAACTCAGTAACCAATAAGAGATTTGTGTACACAGTTGTCAGCCAAATATTTTATACGGAGTTTCATGTTACTGCTATGTTACCCAGACGGAATAAGTGGATGGCGGTTCAAACCTAAAACTTGATAGTTAAAACTAAAGTGTTTTACCAACAAAGACACTGCTCCCTATAAAAAGAAATCATTTGTCAGGCACAGATTCATTTACAATAAGGGCTAATGATATTATTGGGTTGCTAAATGAAAGTAGATGAATAAGGTTAGAGTCTATAATCGAACAATTAAAAGTTGAGTTATGTAATTACTAAATCTCCTACATGAAAAACTAAAAGTTAATCATTAAACAAGTCGATATCATAAAGTATTTTATACATCACTATAAATGGAAAACTAACGTACTGAATACATAGGATTGTTTGAAATACGGTTCGAAAGGTTGTGATAAAAGTCTTGCACAATCATTGAGGCTTGATTAATGTTTGAACTTCGAATAGGCTCCAACTGTTCCATAAGCTTTGAAACCTTGGGAAAATTTCAGTTACTAAATTCGAATATCTACATGGCGGGAAATATCGGCATTTGCAGAGGCTCGAAGGGTATTTAGAAATGTTTTAAACTCTTTTTCGGCTTGTAAACACTCTTCTGGGTTCACTGGAATTTGGTCCCGGTTATCATCTGAGATATTTCACAGAATGGCCATTCCTTACCTCGAGGAACCTTAAATATATTTTTGATAGACGTTGCATTCTTTCCGATGGTATGTTTGGGTTTAACCTCCGCTTCTGAATTTTGAGTTGAAAGTGATGAAGTGGAAGAAGCCTGACGAAAATTCGATTGCCTTTGATGAGCGTTGCGATAGCAGACGGAACAATATCCATCCCACGAAGGATTCCCATAAAAGCCACACTTATTTTTACATGACAAACTTGATACTTGAAGACGAGATGGAGGGTAGTTTGTATTCATCGTAAGGATGTTCCCCGATCAGTTGGCTGCAGCTTCTTACACTTTCAAGAAAACGTAATACACTGATTATATGTATACATAAACTATAACATTAACAAATCTTCTGAATGATATGTCTGAGCATAGAGATACTCGAAAACTAAGATTTGAATAATATAAATCTCTAAAGTGCTTAAAACGATATACTTATACCAGTTTCCGATTATTGTTTAGTTCGACGTGGGATATTAGCGGACGTAGATGCAGGTAGAAAGAATGTTAGGGGTGACCAAACCAAAATGTCAGATCAGCCCATGAAGTCAATGAGTGTTGGAATGAGTCATTTTGAAGGTGTAAAATACCTAGGTTCACATGATCATTGTGAACGATGGATACGTTGAGTGATATGACTCAGAATTGGTTGCAGTGACGCAGATACATTCACGTTTTGTCTCCTCTTAGATCTTGTGCTTCAGGATAATATCATGTCTTTTATTTCGTAAATTCATCAATCCCAAGTAACCTTCTTTATTGTTAATCCTTTTACTACTGTTGATATTGTGTCTAGATAACTTCACATTTCTCTGTCCCTATAAGGTATGTGAATTCGAACTGATGGGCATATTCTCTAGGTTCTACGTTGAGGGTGGTCGGTTAACTGTTTACCTTGACTTTATGGAAACAGAACCTTCAGTTTTATACTCATTTATTGTACATATATCAATTGGTTACTGAGTAATGACTGATGTCATTCCCTTTTAGCTACTAGAGCTGATCGAATTAGTGTATCCACTAATCTCAAAAAACTTGACGGTGGGTTCACTATTTTTTGATATTAGGTGGTTGGATGTATCTGACATGATACTCTAGACTTAGATTTTGTGACATTTGACACCATAGATTGCCAACATCCAAGGGAGAAAGATATGGAGGCAATATGATAAATGATTATTAGATGTTTCGTCCAATCACACTTATTAGCTAATTGGAATAAAAGAATTAAAAGTGAGAGAGTGATATACGAACGTTTGGATAACCGCCTAGTGGCTTTGAAAACAAAAACTACCGAAATTTAGAATAATTTGAGCAAGTTAGGAGAATTCGATTTAAGACTATATTACATTCCATGTAGGAAAATGGTCGAAGTCAATTGATCTGCCAGATGAGCAAGGAAGCAAAGGATAAATTAGTGTGGGACAAACTTGACCAGGATTATAGAGTTACACAGGCCATAGGATTATTCACTTTTGAAATAAGGTTGGGGTTGAGGAAAGAGCCTATAACTCATTCTCTGCAGACTTTCCCTTCTACATAGAGACATTTAGGTTTTGGAGATTATTGCCATACGCTTTGTGCGGAAACAAGCCAGTTGATAAGATTAAGAGCCTAAAAGTATCCTGAGTGGTCAAGACAATTTTTATATACTGCTTTAACATGTGATGCTGGATGGAGTGGGACCGAGTGAAAAAATACTAGAATTGGAAAAGCTAGACCACCGGATAATTTTATCAAGTCGCCGATGGTCTGAGTTATGTGTAGGATTTTTGAATAAAGTCCTCGAGGTGATAAATACTTCATAAGGCAAGCTATGTCTTGTCTGAAATAATTGTAAGACTGTTGGCAATCCTGCCTGACATATCACTGCAGGAGTTCAAACTTGCAAGTGACTGGAAGAACTCAAGCATTAGTCTGATCTACAAACTGAGGATAAGAATTTAGTCATTTACTACTACCCATTAGGCCTTACTATTATTGTTATTAGTTTGATGGAAAAGAATATTTGGTGCTGCTATTCTACATCAATTAAAAGATAATACTCTTCTGGCCGCTGTTTCCTAGCAGGTTCACTCACTTTTTCACCGAAGGAAAAGATTGGACTGCAGCGAAAGAAATGAGTATTGAGGCAGATGTAATCTTTATCAATTTACATAAAGATTTCGTGAAAATATCTCATCTGGATTTAAGCCGGTCAGTTGTACACAACGTGGAAACTGACCTAGATGTTAAACCACAATAGCATAGCAAGATGGAAATGTTAAAACAAATTCCGCAGTAGTAAGAACAGCAGAAAAGACTAGAGTATAAATGACATAACCCCAGAAAAGATGAATTCGTGGAGTAAAATAGCACAAGATAGTTGGAAACTTCGTATCTAAAAGAATGCAGAGTAAATACATCTACGACAATGAAGTCGGTACTGAGCCATGTCACTGAACGTATCTAACTACTGGACACGATAACCATGCTGATCATTGGCAGGAAATTCGTACCTGCCAAGGCTAAAGCTGACTGCTCATGATTTTATGGCCTAATAAGACGTCTTAGTTCGGGTGCTTCGAGATTTCTTTGAGTTAACTATGGGTGATTAGACCTGAACACGGCATCAGTGAGACTGAAAAACTTTGGAGTAAATGCCAAAGTTGAAGATAAGAATGTAGACTTTCAGTCAAAGAAGGCAAAGTGTGAGTGAATAGCATTTTATCCTAAGTGGTATCAATAGAGATTGCAGGTCCCCAAAAAAACAATGGTTTTATAGACAGACTTCCACAAAGTGTTATAAGATTCTGGGGGAATTTTCGGGTTTTTGTGCCATTTTTCCTACATTTCCCAAAAACACAAATTGGGAACTCTAGGCCATTTTCCACGTTACGTAAAATATCTGGTCAGAGTAGCGGAAATGTTTAAAAAACCGTTAGACGGGACTGAGGTGAGGAGGGTCACACGTAATGAGAACAATAAAACGGAATTGCAGGAAGGCATAAATCTTCTGCCTAAGTAGACAAATGGGTGATTGTGAGTAGTCAGTGTCTCGAAATCTTGACGAAAACAATAAATTCACTGGTTGAAGCTCCTACAGACACATCGATGTCATAAGGAAATGTTCACTGTAAGTGTTAACAAAGGTCAGCTGACTAATGTATATATATAGTCTGAGATAGCACTTACTGTAACACAATACACAAAGTAGCCGCCTAAAAAAGTTCGACGGTTGTGAACTGATTAGAGGGAGATTTCGCTTAACGAGCTTCCATGTCTAAGAGCAGTGGATCCCCGACATAGTCAACTGCTCATAAATAAATACACTCTTATACTCTCGTGTCTCGTTCTATCGTGCCCGTGGATATGATAACCGAACTATTAATTAACTATCATCTGTGTTCATTGACTGTTGTGACTCTCCCATTGCATTCTACATCTGGCGAACTTACTGGAGCTATATCTACCACATTGGGATTATTAATTATCTATAATTGTGGATTTTGGGACCAAACACAACAGAACCCGCAACAGCCAGCTGATTTAAGTAACGTCCCTGAACTTTCATTTGTGTTAATAACCTATAAGTTGTTTATTATTACATTAACCTTTGGATGTAATAACTTTATTGCTAGTTTTGGTTAATATAATTTTTGGTCCACCACAAGTTTATCAGTCTTGATGAATTTGTATGGTGCTCAGTAAGATTGTCTTCCACCTGGAGGTGTCTAGTCGGAGCCATCTACAGGAAGTCCATTGCTGAAATGGAGTACGACAATCGTATGCTAGAAGGATAATCCCGCTTTTCTCGTCTCACATTCACTTATATCCTGATTCTAGGGGACTTCAACTTTTCTAAAGTCAATTTCACGGAACATGAGTACATCGTTGGTGAAAACATTACTGGAGCTCGACTCTTCAACCTCATTGAAGATCTGAGATTATTCGAAAATGTGGAGTCGGAAACTCGCTGAAGAAACAGTCAGACTCCGTCGCGCTTAAGCTAGGTATTTACAAACGAAAAATTCCTAATTAACAACCTCAACCCTGGCTCCCCTAGCGAAAAGTGATCACGCCGGAAAAATTTAGAAAACAGTGATATAACTTCTGTTCTAATTTAGTGACAATACGGTTATCAAAATCAAGTTTATTGTGACATGTATATTCAGTGATTTATTCATAACAACAAAATAAAGATCACATATTTTTCCTATTTGTCACAGTTTATATGTAACCGCATTTATATTCAATATCTATTGTTTCTCTGTATCAATGGTAAAGAAACATATTTGTTTGATTATATCTAATACACACTATACTACCGCGGTTCTTAGAATGTAAACGCTATCTTCATCGTCCATTGATCTGCTTTGTTGACCACGGCATTTGATTGAAGATCATAATAGCATTAAAGCATCCTTTTAGGTCATCACACACTACGTTGGATCTTTGGCCCAGATCATTAATAAATGATATTACCGGATTTAATCTTCTTCGTTTTGCCGTCGGTGTAATCACGTGCAGAGGAACCTTTGTTAACCAAGTGAACTTATTTTTGGTTTTTATCTCAGAGAGCAACTTACAAGTAGCACTCGTTTTCATAACACTGTTGCCATTTTGTTGCTCAATATACCGTTTTATATTTGTTACCTTTTGCGCTACTTATAAACATACACTTAGGTTTGCAGTGTTAATTATTTTGGTATAATCTTGTAACTTTGTGAATTTTTATATATTGACTAACCTCTTTTCGGGATCCACCGCAAGTGATAACGTGTTTATCGTACTAATACTGTTGTATCATTAGTTTTACCAATAATTTTAAATCAGTTTATATGAAAAACTGTCAGTCGTTTGTCGATGCAATCTAATTCAGGGCAACTTATTAGAATATTTTAAAACATTATGTGCTTGTGACTACTTCCATGGTCAGTGAGAGTTAATCCACTATTTCTCAAGTTATCAACTCAACTCGAACTTTTCGAATCATCTAATCAATCCATCTAAACCAGCTCGTGGTTCTAGCTGATTCGGACTACCGCTAATTATCCTCCAAACATTCACATCATCTGCAAATGAGATGAGTAACAGCTAAAACAACCTTTGCAGTTCATTTACAAAAATTAGAAGTAATAGGGAACTTAAGACAGTACATTGCTACATGGTTTTTAGCAGGCCTTCATCCAGATAGCACCCCAATTACTCTCACTTTGTTTTGGTCAGGAGAAGAAAATTGTACTCAACACTCGCATTGTGCCTGCTTG